TTTCTTTATTAGTTCTTGTTAAATAGTTAAAGGAGGATGTCTCTGTTATTTTCGTCTGTCAGCCAAGTGAGGACTCTTTTACATGTAAGAGTTATAGCTACACTAGGAATAAACAGTTTTGTACCTTAGTTTTCTCTTGTTATTACGGCCGTTGAAGGGGATGAATTTGTTCATTCACAAAGAAACCGAACAAGAATGATATCAAGAATCATTCAGACTGAGGTCAATGTTATCTGACCAAAGACTGATCAATTCTTGATGTCACGTGAAAGCCGAGTTCAATAATTGTTTTATCATACAACTGTAAATGCAGACCTATTTTGTACGAGAGCCATAAATGTTTCTGGGCTGTGACTTTATATAATTTTGCTGTTCGCTTTTGACTTTCTCTCATAAATACTATAGAAAAACTCTCTTGGCTGACAGTATAATTCTGTCGTTTTTTTATGTCTTTATTCTCAATAATTTGAACGAAAACAGTTTGCAAACCGCTTGGAAATATCGAGCAAGCCATTATACTTTTTTGTTTACAGTTTTAACATGAACAATTATACCCCACTTACAAATACTTTTCAATCTTTTGTATAAGTGGCAAAAATTGAAAACTATCTGTTGGTCTTAGCCAATCACATTTGAAATTGCATCAACTTTGTTCGATAACAATAATTTTTATCATTCTTTACTGTGTAAGTAATGTCGCTTTTGATTGGACAAGTACCTGCAAATAATTATCGATATCTGTAGGTATGATGTCATATCTACAAATAATGTACTTTCTACAACTATGGATGCCATTAAAAACCGGTTTCGAAAAAATTCAAACAAGAGCGATGTTTGCCACAGTTACTAAAAACGGTGTGCATGCTTTTAAAGAAAGAAAAAAATGAGTAAAACACTAAAAAAGCGCTAAGTTGGCTTTTAACAGATTTACAACATATTTAAACGAGACGAACTTGATTAAACTGTCTGACAAAAACAAATTAGCAAAGGTTTGAAAAATGTTTTATATTGATATATTCTAGCCAATAATATTTCAGTTAAAGTAAATGGTTTGAACCCGGGAGTCAAAATGAAGATGACTACCGCTAAGGTTGTCGAAACGTCAGTCAACAACAACAAAAACAGTCCTTCTCAGGACTATACCAACCTGGACGATCGACATTTACAAACATGTAATATTTCAGTTAGTTGAAGTTAATAATAAAACAATTATTGAATTCGGCTTTCGCATGATATCAAGAACTCTTCGGACCTCAGTCATTGTTATCCGCCTCAGCTTTGCTTCGGCAGATAACATTTACGTCGGTGTGAATAATTCTTAAAACCATGCTCAACCTAATCAACCTAATCTGTCATGCTTAAGTCCAATGAAACTAATCTACAGGCTTTTGACCAATGGGAGTGAAAGAAATTTATTCATTGAATACAATTTAAGATATTGCGACATTTATAACAATAATTGAAAGCTTTTTTGAACGTAACAAAAAATTTACGTTATATTGGACGATGTCTTTCATTATCTTATTTTAATTTATAATTTATTCTAGGCATCTGTTTTCGGCATTTGTAATAAAAGCGCTCCATACAAGGAAAAGAGGAATATATTGTTGGGCGATTTCACTCACACTGTTATATTAAATGACGGATTTTGAAGCTGAAAATTGATCAAAGTTTCACGTACATTTTGAACTTACTATACGATTTTTTAAATTATATTGCTAGGTAGCAAGACATTATCAAAAAAAATCGTGTTTTGATCGAGAATAAAATTTTGGTTGAATCAAGGTTGAGATTTGTGTAATCACGATAGCAAAATACGATTTAAAAAAATGTTGGTATTTGATTGCTTGTCACATAATGGATAATGACAACGTCATGATGCGCAAACGAAGCGATTAACTATTAAAGTACAGTTTGAGATAAAACCAACTAAGAAGCGAACTCTGATTACTGCGTTTAATGATAGAAAATAAGACAAAAAATTCACCACAAAGCTCAACATGAATTTTACATCCGTTAAAGATGTGGAAAAATGCGTGATACTAGAAAATCCAACAAATATTTTGGCATGGTCTTCATCGAATCTTATCAAGATCAACACAATAGTAACGTGTGTCGTAAGTTCACTTCTTTTCGCCTTCACTGTATTTCTGAACACAATTGCAGCGCTAACTATCAAAAGATACCCGAGTCTAACAAAAAAACTAAGCTACTACCTTCTTTACCTTCAATCCTTGATTGATCTCTTGGTTGGACTTGTATCAATACCAATTTATACGCTCTTTATGGCAAGAATAATTTCAGCAAACATCAGCTGCATCTTAAGCTATGTTTCGCTGCGAATAGCAACGATTCCAATTGCTTTATCTAACGGATTAATACTGTTCTTAAGTTTCGAAAGATACGCAATGTTGTTGCACCCAGACTTTCATTGCAATAAGCTGAACAAAAAAGTCTTTCGTCAAAATTTTATATGCCTTGGACTGCTGCTAGCTTTGACATTGACATTGTGTTTCTTCCAGTCTCGCATCTTTTGTATTAGTGGTCTTTTTATGATGAACACGTCGTTGATACTCATAACATATTTCTACTTGAATATTTTCCTAATATCCAAAAAGACATTACTTCTCGAAAATGTTCAAATTGGTGCAGTTGAAAATGTCGAAAGCAACGAAATCTCTGTCAAAAATAAGAAGCATAAATTTCTCAGTGAAATGAAACTTGCCAAGCATTGCTTCGTTTTAGTTATGGTTATGGTGGCGTGCTTTGCACCGGCAATTATCACTATTCCAATATCGGTTAATTTGAGAGTGGACGCGGCAACAAAACAAGGAAATTTTCAACATTGGGTTCTGCTCTTACAGTCATCAAATCACAGTATAAATTCTATTGTGCTTTTTTGGAAAAGAGCAGATCTACGAAAAAGAGGACAGAGAGTGATAAAAGACATTCTAGGCGCATAAGAGAGCCACAGTGACGTGCTAGGAAATTTTTTTCCGAGGAGTCCATTGATAAAAATTGACCCAAAATTATCAAATTTAGGAAACGATGGCCTAAGGCGCTGGCCGAGCACCGTAGGTGCAAGGCATGCTACAGATGGTAGGGGTCCGGGGGAATTCTTCCCGCGGGAAAGGTTTTAACTTAAGAAGATTTCCTTTACTTGTGTTGTTGAACATTTGGAATTAATTGGTAATTAAATTAGTATAGATATTGGCTTAGCTATGAATCTTTATTTTATAATAATTTTGTTGCGGAATAAAATCAAATGTGATTATATTTGCAAAATATATTTTATTGATGGTTAATGCCGATCTCACCAAAATAAATTATGATTAAAACGTATGCAAAATCAACTTTTAAATTGTTAACTGAAGGTACAATAATTCGAGTATGTACATTACGTGTTCCCACATATTGATCAAAGATGTTCTTCTATAGTGTTTTTTTTTTAATGTTACTTGAAAGTACAAATAATATAATCGTTTATTTCAATAACAATCGCAGTTTTATAAAAGGGGCTTGGTTGATTCTGATGTAAAACTTCCAAATGTCTTAATAATCTGCCTCTTAGTGGTTACGTTCATTATACAAATTTAAAGTTATTATTTTCATTCATGTTTTTAAATAAACAATCTTGTGTGAGGTAGCAAATGTCGTGCGTTTGGACAAAACAGTGAGAAATTTGTTATGTCATGTTTATCTCCTTTAAAATGTTAAAACTCGACACCTATATTGATTTCTGAGCGCCTTCTTTTGAGAATTTGACCCCTAGAGGCATTCCCCCAGGCCCCCACCCTGGCCAGCAGTTTTTAATAAAATTTGTTTTCTCAATGTTAATTGAAAATAAAGTCAGTCAATTCAATCTTACGTAAAACAACTAACCAAATTGACCAATTCATTCGTCATTTTAAGAACGAGTTTCTTTTATTGTCAAGCTAGCTGCTGCATAGTATAGCTAATAAATTTTGTTCTTGATAAAAATTATTGGAAGAATTCTTTCCAAGTAATGTCGAATATTTTTCCAGGATATTCTAGGAACTTCTTTTTCGCTCCGTCCCCTCCCTTACTTTACCTTCTTGCAAGCATAAATATATGACAGGAAAGTTTTATTCCTAATATAATTTGAGCGATTTTAGCTTTTAGCTTTGGCTATGATTATCTTGATACTGCATGATGCAATTGAGCTATTTTGGCAGAAGATTAATATGTGGGTGACATATTATTGTAATAACATGGTGTAATTGACTGCACTGAGTGGAATTCTTTACAAAATTTGACACTTTTCTCGAAAAGGATATTGTATTACTCAGTTAAGTGAATAAACACATTTTGCAAGCTACGTGGTCTCTCAAAAAAAGGTAATCCAACTTCAAAACGATGGTGTGCATAAATTACTGAAAAAAACGTTAACGATCGTAATTGTTCGATCATGTTTTTTAGCTATCGAAAGCCATGCTTTTTGTAGCTGATGCAAGAAAATGAGTAAATGCAATTTGTTTGAAAAAATTTAATCGAAAGAGAATTTATTAGTCTCCACTTTGGGTTTGAAAGGAGAAATTCTAACTCTATCTTGTTATCAGTCCATGTGAGGATAGTCTTATACGATGCGCATTAACTGATTAGTGCTAGAGTTTTGCTGGAATGATATCCAGCAAAAATCTTTTAAAAATTCTAACGGCCATTACTGTTAGAGCGTAGCTGCACGTGTTCACTTAAAACTTTTAGTGTTACATTAAAATTTTATACAGACGTAGCCTGACAAAAGCTTGCCCCTGTATACGTCAAATCCGTTTAAGCTGATGCATTAATTATACTGCTTTATTCAAGCCAACTCTGTTTTGATATCACTCTTTATGGAATTTTTATCATTTTTAAACGAAAGAAATTTACGACACAAAATACAAAAGGTAATAGGCGAAAGATAACTCCCAAGCTGTAAAATAACTCATCTTGCAGTAGCTTTTAAATTATAAAGTTGCGAATTGAAATGACAAAATGAATTAATTTTGAATAAGGCTATATATTTTATAAAAAGGACATGTTTTGAAGTAAATAGCTAATTAACTCCTTTTTTCGTGTTGACAAAAAAATGTTCAACTAAAAACGCTTAAAAAGGCTTTTGAGCAAACTTGCAGATTAGAGACCAACTCTAAGTGTCTTTAGCTTCACGTCTGTGAATGATCTCGACAGCAACATAAAACGCCATACCTACGATTAACACCACCATAAGAATGATTATTTTTACCCTATAATTGAATAATAATGTACATTGAAGATTCATCCATATTGTGAAAATTTTTTTAAGTAAAACAAAGTTAGATAGATTTAATCGTGTTGTTCATCATGTTTGTTAAATGAACATTATAAATTAATTCAGTTTGTTGCCTATTTATTTAAAGTTGAAAATTTGGGGATTCTATTACAGGTCTCAAAGCGAGGAGCTTTCTTGGCTAATAGAAGTCTAAGAAAGCTCAAAAAACAAATGGTTCAACCTGGCGAAAGTTTGTGGACTTGGCAAGGAGAAAAATAGTCTTTGTCACTGAAAGACGACCAAAAATTGAATACTATCTAAGGTAATTTCAACAGATAAGTAACTTAAAGCAATTTTTTCTTGAGACGAAACCCTTTCCCATGTGCAGACCTTTTCTGTACATCATCAACAGTCAGAGGCAGATACACAGTCACATGTGGATCTACATTACATTTAGGCAAAATAAATGAAAGTAGTTTTGTATTATAGTTCAACATAAGAATGCTATTTTTTATGGATTTCGAAATAGTAAAAATTTTACTATTGAAAGTACACTTCATGCAGCGGCTTTTCAGCCAGAAAATGCCGTCGTTAATACTATCATGAATATATTGTTACGTAGCTACTATTTTGAAACGTAGCCCACTGAACGAAGAATTATTTTAACTTTGTGAAATTAAATCAAAGAATTTATTCAAAAGTAGATAGCTAACATATACAGATCCTATTGTCTAGTTTGGCAATACCTGCAATTTCTCTACAATATTTGGTCTGATGAGCTTAGATTCTTCCGTCTGCTTTACAGCGTAGAAACGTTCAGAACAGGGGGGAAATGTTTTAGCTCATCCAACTGAATCTGGCAAAAATATACATATACGGTCAAACTGTAGGGAGCCTACCTGACGCATATTGCACTGCTTAAAGCAAAGCTGATGACAAATCCAAGGGACTCCCACAGGCGATAATTCGAGAATGCTGCTTCTTGTTTATCATGAAAGAGAACACCGTAGAAAGCTAAAACATGTAGAAGAAACATAGACATTAACATTCATCCAGAAGTAGTAAATAAAACAACAATTTGAATCTGATAATCATAGATGGAAAAATATAAATATGGTAAGCTGCTACTATTAAATGAGCAAATTTGTGACTTTTCACTGCAGCACACTGCCGCGAAAAATTTTCCGAGGTTTATTTTTGTAGTTCTTACTTTGGGGAAGGGTTAAATAAAAGACGATGCTTAGTTTCATGAGACTGAAACAAAGCTTGTTTCATTTCGCATCTTTCTTGATTTTTTCAAATTTACAATATTGTTGGTTCCTGACATGTTTTCAATAAATTCTAGCTCGTGTAGAATAACTCTGATTTTTATGTTCTGGTTGTTATCTTTGTTGTTTTGCACTGGAATTCAATATCATCCTCACTCTTCGACTACAGCACTCATAACTGGAGAATGTACTGCATTTCCAAGGAGTTTGCATTTTACAGAATCCATCTTAGTTCAAACATTAACACTTGCTATTTCACCTGCTCACGGTTAGTCTTCTTTAAGGCAATGAAGACCTAGACGTTTTTCAAGCAATCCATAAAAAAATTCAACTCCGTAACATAAGAATCTAGATCATACCAATGACATCAATTAAAAGATTAGGTTACGAGCCCAGAATCCACAATCAATCATTCAATGACTGTCCTCGGGATTGCAATCAAATTCTCAAAAGTAGTTTTTTCATTTCTTCCCTTGTTTCTTGACATTTGTCACATATCTCTGCACTAAGCTTCGAACAATGTACTCCTGGTGCAAATATTTTGTATATTTCGATATCGAAAATCACAACTATTTCACATACTTTGTGTGGAGATTCCTTCTCGTTTTCATCTCTATTTTCATTGCATGAAGGAATTGAATACTAAATCTTTTAAATCTTGGTCCATGGATTTCCATTCACTAGCTTATGCCACTTTATCTTTAAAAAGAAGGAACTTGATCCACATTTTCATTCCACTTCTTTGCTTTACTATATATTAATGTTTTGTAAGCCTGAAATGCGTAATTGAGGTCCTTTCAAATCCCTTGTGTTATACGAATTATGGCAAGCACATATGAATGTGTCTCAATTACAATTATCGATCTTGGTACATCCAGGTATCGATTTGACGAGATTCGTGATGTCTTGTATGTTATGTATGACATGGTAAATGGCGCTAGATGTTACAAAAACCGTAAGTACTTTTGTATGAGCATGCTAGTTAGTTTACGCACCTTCATCCTTTTCTCCAGTTTTTCAAAACAGAAAGGCAAAAATTTTGTAAAAACGTTAGTGTAAATGCAATGTGTTTCAAAATTTGATAGCTCACTCTGAAAAACGTGTAATTTTCTCAGAAATGAATACCATTATTTCAATGTTCTGATTTTTGATAGCACGACTAAAACTCGTAAAAGACTTTTACTCTGTTGCAGTTTTTTTGCACATACATATGGGTTGTGTTTGTTTGTCCAATTCTATGTGCAAACAGAGGTCATCAGCTTTTGCGTCTGTTTGTAATTTGTCCAAAGACTCTCGATTTTTTATTGTTCAATTGCAAAAGTTTTCTTCTGAAGTTTAGATTGAATCTAATCTAGGCTAAAGACCCAACTTATATAGGAAAATTTAGCAAAAGCCATATGATGTTGACTGTGAACAGGGTTAAGGAATTTTGCCGAGTTGGGAAAATTTTAGTTAACCTGTGATACAGCTGGCTATATTTCTTCGAAATTATTTGTAGACCGATAAGTCTCAACTAATAATCAGAAACTAGTACTTGTCTTTCACAACGACAATAATGGCCATTCGATCAGGAAATTAAAGATGTCTACAGTGGTTCTACAGGGGTAAAAGACCAGGATATAATGTTCTACAGTTAAAAAACGCCTAGACCGTAAATGGTAGTATAAAGTGAGAGATATGAGGAATTGAATGATTTGCAGTTCTCAACCAATCACCATGAAAATTGCATTAGTTTTGTATTGTTATATAGGTGTAAAAGTGGTAAAACAATCATACCATTGATTTGAGTCTGCCAGACAGCATCTGCGTATCCCCAAAGTGCAGCAATTACAAAAGGTACTGTGATCATATGACGGTCAGGAGTATATGATAACAAAACAACATAGATCACGAGATGTGTGACTGCACCAGATATGAATATTGGCAATCGTCCAATGTATTTCGCAAGCTTCCCCAGCAAGTACGAGAAGATTGAGTTACCAACGCCAAAACAAATCATGACGTAACCGACTTTATCGATGCCATAAACACATGTGACAAACGACTAAGAAAATTCAAAACAGCTGCTGAACGGCTAAGTAAAATTACAACAAATGCTTAAAAGACATTAATTGTTGCACTTTTCCATGCGATTTTACAAGTTGTTTCAGATATAGTTACAGTTGTTTGTTATAGTTAAATATATGTTACAGTTGTTTTGTATAGCGAAATCTGTTTTTGTCTTCTGTCAAAGGAAAAACAGACACATGATTGACTTTCATAAAGTCTTAATTTCAACAATAAAACAGCCACCAGAAAACAATTCAATTGTGCAATAAAATCAGTGAAATAGCTTATGCTTTACTTGACCAGTTATCTATCTCGTATCATTTCAACATGGAGCATTACCTATTTGCGTGACAATACTACAAAGTTGCTATGTAAATACATTTTTATTGTTTCTAAAATTGTATTCATTAACAATTCATCAACTCACTTTAGTAAAATCTGCGAAAACAAAGCCTTGCTCCAAACCGCTGTATATGGTTAGCGGGACAACGAGGAGCATGCGTATTTCCTGGAGATGACGTAACGTGGACACAAACAGCCGTAGTTTTGGATGTCGAACTTTTATATTTTCTTCTTTTAGTTGATCAACAAAAAGCAAGGTTGCAGCTATAGACAGGAATCCACAAACAAGATATATTGTTACAAGGATGACAACGGTTGATTTCTCAGGAACTATTAGTACGGACGAGTTTTTCTGAGACAAAACTGAAAAGAAATATTTTTCAGCAATTTTTAATTTATAGGCCATCTTCAGACAATTAAAAACAGCAGCTGATTACATCGTAATTTCATAAATTTTTCAACAACGAAATGTAGCTGATGGGCAATTCAGTGGCTGTTCACATAAGCCCGGGTAACCGAGAATCAGCGAGGCGTGAAATGATTTTGAGTCATTGAATGGAGTAAAAATGTTAAGGATGAAACTTAAACCTTTTACTTAAGCGTGATAAATCATTTTAGTTGCAATTTTCAAATCAGGCTAAATTGTTTGTTTTCATTTTAAACATTTTGGGAGTATGAGCATAGGCAAATCACTCAAAGAAGTTTTTTGTTTTAAAGTATTTAATCTTTTCTATTGCCAAAATGATTTAACGCTTCGTTGAATCCCGGCTACACGCGCTCATGTGAACAGCCCCTCAGAGTAAATTTATTAATTTCACTTAAAGGTCCACCTTTTTCAACTTAAACATTTAGTAGAGCATAAACAACATGTTAACGTTCGTCTACCGGGACGAAACTAGAGCGCAAATTTAGAAGGGGATATAATCAGTTCTGCAGTCTGATTTCCTTTGCCTTTAATTATTTATTTGACGAATTCGTTAAAATTTCTTTGACCCACAGTTGGTTCATGCTACAAATTTATCAAGAAGTATGATCCACAGTTCTTTCTGTTCAAAAATATATTTAGTACCTTGTCCACAGTCGTTGGCTCCGCAGACTTCGATAACATCGTAAGCTAAAGATTGGTTTGTAAAATTCGACTTTAATGATTGTTCAGATTGCTTTAAGACTTCAGAGGATATTAAATTTCCCCAGACTTGTGCAGACTGAAATATCATGAAGAAAATTCCAAAAAAGCGAGTGATGACGACATCTTGGGGGATACTGTTATGTTTGGCGTGTGATATAGCAGTAGTCGTTAGGTAAGCACATTTTGAAGACCAAAGAGGAGCTGCACCGAAACCTGGAAATGTATTAGGAAAATGAAAAATTTCGGTTTCGAAGAATTTGTTATGAAAATCACAATCAATTTCAGCGTCGTAGGAAGGGGGGCATAAAAAAGTAGTCCCTTTTTTAAAAAAAGAAAAGTGCCTTTTTTTACAAAAAGCGTCCTTTTTAAATGAAAAAAAGCTCGTGCCCCCCCCCCCAATTTCACTTGCTTCCTACTCCTCTGATCTATTTGGTATACAAGTTCAAAATGAAAAACGAGTCAGTTGAACGATCAAGTCAGTTGCTGTCTCTTCAGTGAACTGTAATAACTTTTTTCAAACGTATGCTAAGACGTCAAAAGAAATTCCTCCATACTCCAAGAAATTGCGTAGGTATGGGAAAATATCATATAAGGAAACGACATCTTGCATATTCGGATTACATTTAGCCATTATAAATGAGCTATCTGGATTCAAACAAAAGTTTTCTCATCATAAATGATCTCTTAATCCGGGCTAGCATTTGTCACAGCTCTTTCTAAAGCTTAATATTCAGCATTGGAAAAGGCGAGCAAGACATGAATATCTTCATCTAATTTTTACTTTCAATGTCTCAATAAAAAATATCATTCAATCAAATAATTTGACGGGTTTGAAAAGAACTTTCTTTAATGAAAAATAATCTGATCCTTCTCCCATCATGGAGTCCATTTCAAAGCAATGCAGATCTTTAGATATAAATAATTAAAGCACTTTCTTAACAAATCAGTTGCAGAGCTGCCAGACTTGTGTATTGTACAAATAAAGAGTTTCCATCCAAAATTAAAAATCGCGAGACTTTTAAGATGGCTCATCAATTATATCATGGTTGATTTTAACCTTAAAAAATTAAACAGGCAGTCAAAAGACACTGCATCCTCAACGCTCAGGCCCTGTATAGTATGGATGGATAACGATGAATGATACATCCACGCCACAGATTGATTTATTCAATAGACAGAGTATCAAAATGTTGCAAAGGTGTAACTTAAGCAAAAGCAGGTCCACAAGTTATCAAATATAACGATATTTTTTATTGTGAAACTCATATCTAATGTTTTGGCACTTTTTCACAATGTTACACTATTTAACTATGTCTGCAATAGTGAGCAGTTCTTTGTGACAGCCTGAATGTTTTAATTGGTAGACATAATCAATATTTTATAGAACGTGTAATATACCAGACTTATATTAATATTACATAAATCTTTTGAATGGGAACGATTCGAGATTCGTAACAAGTCCTGGTCAAAGCTCATGGTATCGTCAAGGAGACAGCGAGTTAAGCAGGTCGAATTGCAAATTCAATGTGTTGATAAAACATACAATAAGGGTAAATTGTGTCTAGTTGTAAATCCCTGCATTTAGGCCAATTACCTTTTCCATTCGAGGGAGGAACACCTGAATGTAATCATTGGGGTAAGGGTAAAACAAACAATAAGCCATGTTCTTCTCTTTCAAGAAATGTTTGCTATCATCATTTGACGTTTTAGCAGAGATTTCATGAAAGATGGTCAGATTTGGGAAATTAATGAATGAGAAAGGAATAAAAGTCGTTTGTGTTTCTTTACACTGGCTTAACCATCTTGGCAGGTGCTTAATGACTAGCTCAACCGGTGTTGTTTTGGGAATTTTGGAAGTGGGGGGAGCGATTTGAATTAACCAATTGGCCTAGAAAGCAATATGGGGACGTGCTCATTTATTCGTAAAAGTTAATACACGAATTGTGGCACTTTCGAACTTTCGAGTAATATCTAAGTTTTAATTAGTAGTAATGACCTTTTATTGCTTCACAGACACAATATCATGTTAAAGTAAAACAAGCAAATTCACACTATTTTGAGGTGACTAGTCGTTCTGTACAATTGATGTGTTCTAGCCACGATATAACATTCCAGAGAGAGCCCCCCGCACGCGCCTGTGATTCTTCATAAGGGAAACGCCGTTCCTCTTGTCAAAATAGTGGAGGAATACCGTTCCTCTTACGTTCCTCCAGCAAAATATCACACAGCTTACCTAGTAGCACAGAAGTAAATCCCAACGTGTACCATCGCGGATAATAGTTAGCTGCAATATAGGCGACGTAACATGACATAGAGGCAACGAGCGTCCACTTGCAGCCAATCCGACTGATCAACATAGGTGGCACAAACATACATGAAATAATGAGGCTTGTGTAAACGATAATCAACGAAATCAAGCCAATATTTTCCTCTTCGTTCAAACTACTTTGAAGATTCTGAATCGACTGAAAAGAAGTAAAAAGCAGCAAAAACGCAAAACCAACAACGACGACGTTCTTCATTACAGCGAAGTAGCTTTGAGGCAATGTCATTTCTACGTCACTCAATGGTTCATGCAGAGGTTGCAATGTCTTGCTGTGAATGCTGTCTGTTGTTACAGATGCATCATTGTTAGTCATGCTCTAAGAAATCGAAGATAACTAACTTTAGCACTCTTTGAGCTTACAATCAAAATTGCCTAAGAGGAACAAAAGAAAATACTTAAACAAGGTTTAACCAAATTGTAAAAACAGTCTTCTATTATTCAAAACTGATAATTATTCTCCATTATCAAAGCTGTTTCTTCACATTTCCTTTAAAGTACTATGTATGTCTGATTGTGCACCCATCTTGTGCAGCGCATACGAGATACGAGCCGAACTCATAATATGACCTATGGAATAGACAAACACAGCACACACATAAAACCAGTGTTTGAAAACCTATCTTCACCATGCAGACATCGTAAATATAATCTTGCACAACAATGGCTCAAACAAAATAACGTTTATGTTACTTTAAATTACGCTCAGCTTCTTCATTTAGCTCAGTATCTACATAGTACAAATCAATATGCAGAAACATGTGTATTTACCTCAATAAAATTACTGATTTCGCCAAACTATTGATGGAAAATGTAATATGTAGACGTCTGAACGCTTGTCTGCAAACAAACACGCATGAAACATAATACCTGTAATTTAATTAAGAAATTCCTCATGAAATTACATGTTTGTAGTTGTGGATCATCCTGGTTCTGAATCTTCTAAGTCACTTAACTCTGAAATTGAAAGCTAAGGTTAGTCAACATGAACACCAAGAGTCTTTTAGTGACTCTTTCATCAAAGTACCAACACACCGTAATACTGAAACCCAGAAAAATTATCATATGAAGGGACTTGAGGCAATGGTGTTTATCCATTGTAAGTTACTTGCAAGTGACATTATAGAATGCATTGTTTCTATATCGTTTTAACTGATAGCTATATCTCTTGTTTGCCATAATGAGTGGGTAGACTTACTAAATTCTCTTTCAACCGTATAGATGTTTCATGAGTTTTACAGATTTCAATTGCAGATATGATTGTATGAGTGAATCGCTTAAATGATAATTAATGATCTCTTGATTTGTAATCGAAAAGGATTCATTAAAATATAAGCACATGCTATATGTACATTTTGCAGTATTTCAAATCAAAGATATGCGACCTATTTTCCACATGGAATGGGAGCACGATGCTTGTGGAGCAATACTTGTCAGACCTCACAACAAACGAAACATATATTCTTTTTGTTAAGTTATAAGTCGTACTCTTAATCAATCAAAATCGCAATTCCTACAATTGCAGATTGTGATCTAGTGACGTAGTCGGAGGGAAGGGAGACAGGCCCCTGTCAAAGTTCTTAACCCCCCCCCCCAAAAAAAATATCATATTTTACTTACATTAAATTGTTCAAACGACAGTCATGGCCCCCATTCCCTTCTTACTGACCCCCTTTGACAGAGAGATAATTGTATGTAACAAAAATTTTCTGTAATACCACAATTATGATGATTGCCCGTTATACATTTCGTTTTTCAATGTTGAATGTTAGTTCGTTAGCTGTTAGCAACTGGTATACAGTTTCTAAGTCAGTGTTGATTTTGGTTTCCATTTGCGTGGATGACTTAGCTAGACACAAAGTGGGATGCATTGACTAGGGTCTACGGTGTTTTAATAATTGTTATTCAAATACAACAAGAAATTACATGGAACCGACGAGAGCCAACGACATACAACGATATAAAGTACCATCCTCTAATTTCATGTAACTTTGTGCTGCAATGTTTCCACAAACAAGAAATCTTTCTGAGCAGATTGTCGAATTTTTTACTTACATAGAGTTCCCATTAAAATAATAAACAATATTTTAGCTAACGGCACTTACGAATGAATGCAAAACTTTGAAAACTTTGAAATGCAAAAATTTTTTATTTTCATCATTTTTGTTCATGTCCTTTGATTTTTGATGAAATAAAGACAGACATTTTCAAAATCACGAAGAAAATTTGTTCTTCTTAGAAAATTTTGCCAATGGCATCGTATTGGCTGCAACTAACACAACATTAAGATACAGTCTTATCAATGATTTCAAAATAACTTAACACTGTATATCATGCATACATATAAAAAAATTCATATCAACACATAGGGAATGCAGCCCTCTCAAACTATGAAAAGAAGTATTTGTGTTTTTCATAACATCATAAGCATAAAGCATTAGAGGGCTTAGTACTTGAAAGCCCCCCATCTGGATGCTTTGAGAATGAAATCCTTCAACGTATTTTCGTCGAGCTTTTGAAACGCTTCTGTCTGCGTAACTGCCGTCATGTGATTGACACAAAACTTAAAACAAAATTCTTCCAGATCCTGAAAAAGAAATCAATGACATTCAACTGAAATCAATCAGACGATGTTAATATGCCAAAGAGCTTTGTGTTGTTTGCCAGCACTAACAATATCAGAAGCCATTTGGATAGAACTAAGAAAAAAATTCCCGATGCCATTATTCATATTATTTAAGTTTCCAAATGAGTTTAAATATTATAACTCCGATAGAAAATATCATTTCAAAAAATAAAAAAAAGAAAACAGTATGATGATGATATAAAAAAAACCAACAATGGTCAAAAATACAGGTATTGAACTGTTTACTTTCGTAAAATATTACAGCGAAGTGATGGCTCGTGAGACTGCTTGAGTACTTGCCACACAATAAAAAAAAGAAAATAATAAACATGAGAGCACATACGCTTGATTAAATGCAAACAACCAGCTTAAGCGAATCACTGCACCGAGGAAAGTCTAAGTAAAAATGACTTGTAATAAAGGAGACTTACTTCGGCGTCATATTTAAGAGCAGCAGCCAGCAACATAATAGCATTTTGAACAGTGATGCCATTTTTGATGATGATTTCTGACAATCGTTTCAGCTGTACCTCGCAGTATGCGTTGGCAAGATCAAGTAAACCTGCAAAGAACAAAAGACTACCTATCATCTAGTACACAGCACTAACTAAAAAACACGTTTTGGCACCTTAACCTCCACTTTTCTTTTACTTTAAAAGATTACACGTATTTGGACAGTGGAAAGAAAAAAACATCAGTAAAATCAAAAGTACAAACTGACCGATAGCATCCTCTGGCGGCAACTCAACTTCATCCGTATATATGTAACGCAGGAACGCATAGAACACTGGGTACGAATATGTGGTGATCTTTATTTCACTGCCAGAGAGATTTTAATGCAAATTAAGTTATACAAAAATAATGGTGCATGTAAAAACAAACGGAGGATTATTGGCGGGGTTTAAGGATTTTTGTTATCAAAAATTCTTTTTGAAAATATATTTAACCGAAGTGAGAGGTCAGTTACAGGTCATGACTTGAGGAACTTGTTTGTGCGAGCGACGAAAGTGACGAGGAAGTAACTGTTATGTCTAGTATTAAGGATAGGAACGTAAAATGGCAACAAACTTTACAAAAATAACAAAAATAGTAGTAAACACATTTTTCCAGAACAAAAAAGAAAAATATAATGACTTACAAAAAAGAAAGTGGGAGCATACATGTGGATTAAATCTTATGCAGACCGTGTAGTCTGATGAAGATCAGCGACTTCAAAGTAGTAGAAGTTTACAATGTAAACAAGCTGCACAAAAATGATTAAGTGTTACAAAGTCAAACAAAGAAGTGTTTTGTAGTTTCTAGAAGTCAATGAAAGTATGGAGGACAAAGTAATGGCAATTCAAAGAAAGGTTTAATGTGATCAACATGTGCTTAACCAGGACATAAATTGTCATCAGTGAGACGAGTGGAAAAGTACTTGTTGTGCCTTCAGGAAGGATGTCAACGAAATCACGTGCGGGACTTAAATAGCATAGATTTTCTCATTTTCGCTGAAATTTTTAAAACCTTGTTCATCATTTTTCCAAGGTAGACATTGGTTTGTTTGACTATCTGGGACCTAACTTTGCAATTCTGCTTGTCCCGTTTCTTAAACACTGTATAGGGTGATTATCTGCGACATAACTTTGCTATCGCACCGCACAGCTCGATGGTGTTGCCAATCTTAAAATTCAGTCATACGAGGAAATTTCATAAAACGGAATCGAGGCAAATAATCCCAATGGTTTTGTTAAACACGTAATACTAAATGAAAAAATCATAAACGTACTTTTGCCCATCTTCAGCCCAATGATCTTGAAACATTGTCTTGAAATATTCACATCTATTAAAGATACATTAATCAATCAAACATGGCTCACTTGAACAAACAACAAAATAAACGGAAAAAGTTTTTGTGTGACCTCACCTTACTTTAAGTATTGCTTTATGAGCGTGGACATATTTTTCACCAATGATAAACGTGACGTCACTTGTTGTCTAAGCAGTACATAAAGAAATCCAATGAAAGTGTTACCATTTCCAAAGAGGCAGCTCTTCTCAGTTCTGTCAGACTCAATATTTGTTACCGTGGTATTTGTTAAAAGTTACGTTTCATGATAACGGCTAAACAAATCGATTTAATAAAAATGTTGCTAGATGCTCAATGTTTTAGACAACAAGTCACCTGGACAACTAGCCTGGACTTGTTGCCTTCTGTTATTGTACGTATGACACAATTTTGTCGCATCTAATGGTCAGTGTCAGCCAGATTTCAAATACAGAGGGGGCTCCCCAAGGCACGTGATTTCCAAAAACATTCTACATTGAAGATCAGAATACATTATTACAACCTTTATGTGTTCACATCTTTCAGTTGATTTGACACCCAAAAAGGAGACGTTCTTTTTATTTCTATATCAGGTTTTTTCATTGTATAAAATTGTCTAACTATTGCAGCACCCCCGATCACAGAGTATTCGATTATTTAAAAAATCAAAAACAAATCGTAACTAAAACTAGTTTTAATCCAATCTGTAAGACATTTCTCGCACTAGTGCGAAGTAAAATACGCTTTTCTACTGGGACAAAAAATACTAATAGAAACAGATGAAGAATCAACGACAACTTTATCACAAACCTCATCGTTAAACGCCAAAGCGATTGCTTCTGAAACCGTTTTTGATGGCTTTTTGTCCCCTTAAATAATTCGTATTTTTTAAACAAAGCCTATTTTCTACACCTAATAATTTAAAGATGGTCAATATCTTTCAAATTAAAATCATTATTGGAGGTTCTGTTACTTTATAAGTCACGTTCATTCAACTCATTGCAAAAAATATTTGCAGTTTTTCAACTGCTAACGTGCCGTTAAATACATTAGCATGCCGTTATGTAAGAATTGCACAGTACACCTGATTTGAGAGCCATCAATTTTCTCATGCGATTTGAAAATTTAATTCATGCTTCATAATTTGGCTTGTACGCACATACGCGACGGGGAAAATATAGAAATAAAAACAAACCTATACAGAGAGGACGAGACATAGACGAAGGAGAGGATAGACAACCAAATGCATCGTCAGCAAATTTAAAATTTGTTGCCGTAAGACAGGTAACTGATTGGCCCTTACAAAGACCACACACGTAAACCTGAAAAAACCATTATGGAAAATTCTATATACTGACCAGTTCCCGAGATGGCATAAATTTTTTATTGTCAATGTGAGAGTTAAATTACAACAACTTTTAATATACGGAAATATTGAACAATGCAAGTCAAATCAAAGTCACCACAGAGTGTCCATACTCTTGTCATTTCTTTATATTCCTATTCGGCTTTTCTTTTTTTCGTTTGTCTTATTCCCAGCTATTTTTCTTAATTCATCTATTTTAGTTTGCATTTTAAAACTGAACACAATATCTTATTGAAGTATCGCTGTTCAACTTTCAGTATGTGACAACAAAAGTAGTTACTTTCGTTACCTTTCCCAATGCCGTTGTGGCTGAGGACATATGACTGTAATGACATGCCGTGACATCAATAAACCTTGAAAAAACATAACAACAATTTCAGCGGAAATTATTATTTCTATTGAGAAAAAATTCAACATTCCTGGACTGTCATCGGAATTGTACATGTATATTACGTACCTTCCCTTGTCCGTAGCGATTCTAAATGGAGTGACAACATTAGCCTTGCTTCCAGTGCCTAATTGACCATTCTGATTGGCACCCCACGAGAACACATTTCCAGTGTCGGATAATGCTAATGAATGGGCATAGCCACAAACAACCTAAATGGATGATATACGCAGAAGCAACATGCTATAAGAATCATCATGTTCATTCAATGGTAATTTGAAGTCACAATGATGTCAAGACTGTTTGACCGAATGTAGTCAATTCTTCCACTGTTGTGCCATGGCTGAAAATCTCTCACTCTTTCGGTATCGTATGAACTATATTGATTATGATAATTTTTATTTCTTTCAAAAATTTTAAGTCGATAGTTGCCATTTATATAGGAAACAGAAAACAGAATATAAGCATGGGAAGTTAACACGGAAAAATTGTCTTCTAATTCGCAACAAGCACTGCAATTAACCAAACACAAACTTTTTCTTTGATGTTCGTACAATGTGGTCTCGAACGTCCTATGGTCTTAATTTATTCTCATCATATAAAAATATAGATTAAACAACGCAACACAATGTCACAATCAGGGGCGAAACTAGAACGCTTATTGGGTGTGTGTGAATATTCATATATTCAGCTCAGCCCAGCTGACTTCTTTTGAAATTAAAATTGCTAACAACAATAACAGTGGGCAGAGCGGACTATATTAATATTCACCCCCACCCCAAATCAGCGTTCTAGTTTCGCCCGTGAACATCATGTATACGTAGCATTCACACGAACAATAAATATCATACCTTAGTAACAAACGTTCCAATAAGTCCAGTCACCCGACACGGATTTGGTTGATTGGTGTTACAGCCAAGACCGAGTTGCCCATTTCCGTTGTAACCCCAAGAATAAAGCTGGAAATAGTGTTTATCAAAAAATGCGAGTTTGTTTGCGACGATGAAACGCCTTTTTTAAAATCATTTATTTTCACTTGTACATTTTTACTTCTTGTTGAAATGTTCAAAACAATCAGATCACTTTAAATACCTCTCCATTGCTATCGATTGCCATTGATGAAGACTGTCCACAAGCAATACAAAAAATCTCTTTGCTTCCTAAGTAAATAAAACAACTCAACTCTACACAAAAAAACTGCCTGGGTATTTGATTTTAGCATGAGAGGCAAATGTATAACACAAAACCACGCAACGCATCGTAACGCGTGTGTACTTTGGATAACATGGCTACAACGCTTCTGATTAAATATCACGGTAATGGTTGGTTGTTAACAATACGTTCAACCAGTGGCAATGGTTTGATTTAATGTTGACTACATGTGCATTGTATTGTTTACAAACAAATGCAGCCAAAAAGATGGCTAAACGTTTGCACAACTGCTCCTGATTACTTACCTACCTCAGCCTACAGACAGAAATTTAGAGTCTCATACACATTGCCGAAAATCGCTTTACTATATGCTGCCAGTGTGCAATAAATAAAAACAGTGCAATAAATATAGAGTGTAGAGTAATTCATCTATATAAAAAACAAAGTCATTTCTACGTACGTACCTATGCCAGCAGTAACCTTTCTTGGTGTGGCTTGGTTTACAGTAGAACCAGATCCTATTTGACCACTATTGTTGTAGCCCCAAGCAAAAACCTTAAAAAAGAAATTATCACTATGACATGGAAATTGTACAAAGCATTGGCAGCACTGGTGCTAGGTAAACATTAACATGTTGAAATGTAAAAAAACATGCGCCAACTCAAATTATACTAAATAAAACACCAAGTTTATCAATAGTACAAAAAACAGCTTTACAGCTGAGCAAACTCTGGTGTTATATCTCTGGCCCCTGCTACTCCGTTAAAATACATTTCCGAAATTTCGAGAAATTTCAAAACATTAAAGATTTGTCTTTGAAAATAGTTCTAAACATAGCAAATACCATAATGAATGGTAAAAGTAATATAATAAGTTGATAGTTCTTAAAAGAACTGTTTTAAGTAAAGAGTACTAAACCAATAGTTCTAAATTAAACAACAACAGTTCTTTTAAGAACTAACAACTTATTACATTACTTTTACCATTCACTATGGTATTTGCTATCTCTAAAACTATTTTCAGATTTGTCACCACGACGAAATCTCTATTTTAAGATTTGTCTTTGTAAACGTGGAAACAAAAGATTTGCTTTTAATTTTAATTTTTTGTTCAATGAATTGACGAAAATGTCGCACCATGCATGATACATACGTACAAGGTTTTAGTTTAGAAACGAAGCAGAAGACCACAAATTCAATACACGTATTCAGTGGTTAAAATTTCCTATTATCCAAGTTAATAAAGGCTAGTTTCATGTTTGTGGATGTAGATCGTCAAGGTTAGTAGAGTCCTGAGAAGGACTGTTGTTGTTGATGTTGACTTTCGTTTCGACAATCTGAAGATGACTACCGCCATGGTTGTATGTAACGATACTTCCTGGCTCACACCATTTACTTTAAAGACTAGTTCGTCAATGATCCCTGGTACACATGGCAAATCGCTAGGATAATGCCATAGATAGAGTCTTGTCTCCTATTTGTTTTATCATAAAAAGCTGTCCTCTACGGACTATCTACGTATTAGACAATCATTAACGTAGAACCCAACCCACTAAATGCCCAACACCACCGAAATTCTATAGTTCCAAGTGCCGTCATCTTGAAAGGTGGCAAAACTGAGCTGATATACAGTTGCAGATTTGATAGTCTAGGTTTGGTTTTTAAATGTTTGATAAGTTAAATGACTGTTGTTTTACACCTTCGTTTGACTTTATTTTGATTTTGATTTTTACTTTAGCCATCTTTCAAGATGGCGTCCTTGCCATAGGCCTCAACTCGAAATGACTCGACACGGTAGTTAGTAGATAGACGGAGATTGGGTTCTAATTCATTGATGTCGATACAATAAGACGTCATACAGTCTGCCAAACAGAAGATAATTCTTTTCACGGAAGTTTCAACTTTTTCATTAAAAATGACCTCGTATTTTTGCTGTATTGAAAATGACCTCGTAATATTGTCAGAGTTTAGACAGTAATTTCGTTAGACGTATACAAAAATATCCCTATCAGAGTTTTTGTTTCGAATTAAACTCTGGCTCAGGTGCACAGCACTTATTTGTTAATTTAAAGCACCTTTTTTAAAAAACCATGCCCGAGCGAATCTTCGACGTTTATCGGTGATAAACACATAAAATCAAACATATACATATGTCATTTTCCTAGTAATTTAAGTCGCCAATCATATTTTTCAAGGCCACGTTGACTATAGCGACTTTAAGGCCTTGGTCACACTGTTCGACGATAACGATAACGATAAACGATAACGATGAACTATAAGGAAATTCAATGGTCACATACTAACGATAAATCGTTATCGTCATCCCTGCAATGTGACCGCACACAAGAGTTTGAATAACGAGCGATTTTTTTTGCATCGTTATCGGATCATTATCGGGTGCAGTGTGACCGATGCTTAAAACTTCCGAAACAACAAATCGCCGACCTCATTAGAGACGCTTAAAGATGCTCGAGTTTGGATTTAACTTTTACACCCGCTAATGAATCTAATAATAAAGATTTAAATGTCTACAGTTACAAATCAAACATACATAGTCTGCTCGCAGATGGATTAAGGATGGTTTTGTAGGGTGCGCAAGTGCTTTAATTTGAAAGAATTTGGGGGTTCCTTAGAGAATTCTGCATTTCTATAACTCTTGTACCATGATTTGAAGATGTTTTTTGAATTGTAATCAATTAAATACAAATCACGATTGCTTTTTTTCAGTTGCTTGGTATTTTGAAATTTCACAGGAAATTGGTATTCTATTCCACCCTCTATATAGCTAATTTAAGACGGGTGTGCCTGTTTTGCCCCCTCATTACATCTATCCCCGAAACAAGACACCTACTGTATCAGGCGTTCACTCGGGTATCTCGACAACAGTTTACCAAATAGCACAACAAAATAACAGCAATGCAATCTCCAATGTGGCAATATAATATTTAAATGTTAGTAAATCATGTTTCATTATAATATAGCTACGTGACATTAATGACACTCACGTGTGACACGATCCAAGAAAGATTTTCATTGGTTTAAAAACTTTGTTTTAGTAACACATGATTTTTGTAATCACGAGATAATAGAGGAAACTCCGAATTTTAAACTTAGGTTTATTTTCGTTAGTCCTATTAATGCGGACTTAAATAAAACAAAGAGTGTCGATTACTCTAATGCACAAGCTGTTGGTAAAAGGGGCATTGCCTTTTTCTTATTTTCATGTAATCAATGAAAGTATTCAAACGTATGAACTTACTTCTCCATTTGATGTTAAAACCATTGAGTGATTTCCCCCACAAGCTACTTTAGAGATGTGTCTGCCAGCTAAAGCACCGCCAATCAACGTAGGAATTTGAACAGATGAGCTGCTAGCAAGACCAACTTGTGAATAGGAGTTTCCACCCCAGCCATAAACTTCACCAGATCCTAAGTTAAGCAACGGCATGACAATATTTAAAAAAACCACTGTAACATTATTTACGTTAGCATAACATTTTTAATCACAAAGTTTAATATTCCTTTGTAAACATACAACGTATATTTTGCCAAAGGCTGAAGTCGTGCTCTAGAAAATGAGCGTGACTCCAAATTTTCGTGTTTGATCATGCTCAGCTGTCAATAACAAGTCAGACTAGGAATCTTTCCTCTTGCTTAGTAAAGCTGAGCTTTGTGAGCCCGGCAGAGTTGCAAAAAGAATGGAAGCAGTTCATTATTGCTACGCAACTACTTACTAATACATAAATTTTGCGTTAAATGACGTATTACACCTAAATTTCCAGTAAAAGATTTCCGCTCAAAATCCGTATTAAACAGATTTTGCTGTTTTGAAAACTAAATAATTCATGCTGAATTTTTGACAGAACAAATTCTTTACTCAACTTATTTTCTATAATTCTTTACTCAACTTATTTTTAATCGAATTAAATACATAGGACAAGTTTGTGACAGTGGTTAGATGACAAAAAAAACAAAGTGTTCTCTCTTCTAAAGTATATTACTGTAGTGATTAGTGAGTTAACTATATCTCATAAGAAGAATTAAGATCATTAGAACTTCAGGATAAACAAAAAAATTGCTTTCAAATTATCTGCACAAAGAAAAAATCACAATAGTAAAAGAGCAAATTTTCACAATACCAGTAAGGGCAAGGACATGTGGAGCATTTCCAAATGAAAATTCCTGGACATCCAAATTTGACAATTTTTCAACTTTCTTTGGCTTAAGTGTGCTTGTTCCATTAGGAAGCGCAAGACAAGCATGAACATTGGCACCAAGGGCAAACACATCGTTATCTTCAGTCAAAATAAAAGCCTCATTACCACTTGGTCCGAAGACACAAACCATTTTTGCCATTTGCAAAATTGCATCTTCAACCATGTGGAAAATGGTCCATTTTCCAACATCAAGTGCCATTTCTTCAAATCAATCAAGACGACAATCACCTAATCAAGACAAATAAAAACAACATAACAACAAGGATATTCATGTTAAAAATGTTCATATTAAAATTGTTCTCTTCGTTGGTACTACCAATTTTACTGTATTGTTGTGAAATTTGGGGACAGTTAAGTCATTTAGAATGTTTAAAAACAAGATTTTCAGATCAGCTAACTTTATAGAGCGTTTGTAAAAGAATTTTTTGTGTGCACTTAAGATCTACCAATTTGGTTGTCTATGGAAAACTAGGGAAATATCCACTAATAATAAAAATTATAAGCTGCACTAAAGCAAAATACTGAGTACACCAAACATTAAGATGAAGATTCCAAAACAGAAACCATAGGTCAAAAAAACAAAAGCAATACTCAAGTTATTGACTTTGATCTATGCAAAGTAGAAAAACTTTATGTGTTTGGAGAAAATACCCCCCTCATCCCAGGGTACATTCTATATGCAGTCAAATTGGAATGAATTTATCATAGAGTTTAGAAAATCTTGGCTTACTGTTGAACGATTGCCTTTGTTGGTGTAATGGTTGGCTCTAAATTCATAACTCAAATCGTTTGCTACGTAATGGCGAAAAAGTGCATATGAAAGAAAAACAAATCACAAATACATCATCCTAACACAGAATTGGACTTTCCATTATAGCATATACCAATGCCATAAACTGAAATTTAGATACAATGCAAACATTTATGCATAGATGCTAAGAACAAAATTTAAAGTTGCTTACATGCATACTGCATGAGCACTCAGAGTGGCCACCACACTAAACAATAGATATCTTTTATTGTAAAATCAACAACTTAAAGTTTCGTATAATTTTTTTGCTTAAAAAACATTTTTTCCCAATTAACTTCATAAAAGCCTGTAATTTTCCAGGCAGAAAGGGCATTAAACAAGACCATTTTATATCAGGTGCATAAGTATTTGCCCTAATAACTTATTTCTAAGTATACATTTCAACACTGACAACTCACAAGAAGTGTCAACTGACAACAGCCAACACAAAACAGACTACGAAATTTTTAGTGAAAAAGAGGGAAAAAACAGGCTCTCCATAAATATGTAATGAACGTTTCATTAACATCGCAATATTTGCATACTAATAACAATTATATATTGCAAATTATAACATTTTCAATGATTTAATAAACATTCATTTACCTTGAACGCACTTTAAAACAGGGAAAATGCAATGATTGAGTGTTCCAAAAAAATATGAGTCGTTTCATTAAGGAAGTTGACTACATTGGAAATGATAGGTTTGATTATGGACATAATTTTTCTCTTTCATTTTCACCTCTCAAATTCCTAATGTTACATTAGCGTAACTACTTCATGTAAACATTTTGTATAAAGCCGTCAATAAGTCAGAATAATTAGTCATAGTATATTAAAAAACTTCAAATTCAAAATTCTTTATAATTTATATATAATTCTATTCATAAATAATCTTTAGAAGTTTATAAACAACAGGATTATCGCTACGATATTTTAAATTTAAAATGAGATGCTGTAATGTAAATGTATTATGTAATAATTATGTGATGTAACATTTTATTCTCTTTGCCAAAACAAATTATTCAATGATAGGACTAAAGGGCAACGACAAAATTGTTTGACTGACTAAAAACACAAAAATAAAAGAGCAATTACACAAAATCGTGATCTAGTACAGATGGTGTCGGCAGGAAGTATACTCAGTACACCATGAGTACACCTGGAAATAAATTCTATATAAATCTATTTATGTATTACTGAATTCTCTAAATTCAATAACTAGAATAAACCAGTTGCATTGCTAACCTTGACAACAAGTCCCATTTCCCAAAATACATGAAATTCTTTACAATTACAATTTGTGGGAGGAAATAGAACAGCTAAAGGCAATGCCGCTCCATCTAGCTTTGCTACTAGCATGAATAATTGTGTTCATATAATGTCTAAATGCCACAACTATGTAAACAAGGCTGGCAGAAGATTGGTAATAGGGAGCTAGATTTATTTTTGCATCTTCTATTTTATTTATTTCTATGAAAATTGTGTTAGTGAGTTAAAAGTTATGAATATAAGAATATGGTGCTCCCGCAATTATCAATCTTCTTTGCCCTCCATGAAAATCTACTTTATGCATATTAAATTATGTTAACCTTTTGAAATCATACTTGTGAAAATAATTTTAATCTTTTGTACATGGAGTGGAGAGTAACAAGGTTTTTGGTTATTGATCACATGTTCCACACTTTCTGTGCAAGGTTTTATGTTGCGTCCTTGTTGATTACAGTTCCTGCATTTCAAAATTCTTTTTTCACAACCAAGATCTCCTATATGTTCAACCCTGTTCTTCTTCATCATAATTTGCTTTAATGATTCTAAGTCTTTTTGATTCAAGGATCTAAAAAGTCCTTAGTAGTCCAATCATTAAACTTTTCCAAACCTTATAAAGTGAGAAACTTGCCATACATTTTTAAAAATTCTAGTACATGTCATCTAATAGCATGCATGCAAGGAGTTACATGCTTTGTGTGGTAAAAAAATAAAAACAAGTCTAAAAATGATTGGCTTTTATCTTCTATTACTTTTTCATCCACTGGACGTCCAGAAGAGCTTAAAATTTCAGTGATTTCAAGGAATTGTGACCATAATAAGGAAATATTTTTCTCTTTGATATGGTTTGGAAAAAATATGAGAGAACTCAACATTTCTGAAGAAATGCAGTTTTTCTGGTCCAGTAAGATATCACGCCACTTTAGCTTTATGGAGTCCTTACAGACATACGTACCAGTTATAAAGAGATTTTTAGGGTATTGTTAAGAAAACATTTCTCTAGCAATGTATTTATACTTGGACATATCAAAGCCATCATTAAATGTCTCCTTCTTATCTATGGCATCCATTCCACAAAGTTCAACTATCTGCAAGTTTATCAAATCATCTGAAATTTGCAAGAATAAGTGAAGACTATCAATTACTACATGGGACAATGGTATGGATGGAAACAATGGTGAATGTTTAACATTGTATTTTTCCCTTAATCTTGATGTGGATAGTGCTAGGATTTCTTCAGCTGTCCGTGTACCTTTTTTACTGTCAGACAAATGACCATGCTTTCTTTCTATCATAATTATTATAAAGAGGGCATTTGCACCATATGCCTGGATTATAAGCAGTAGCTGCTCCTAGACGACAAATGCATGCCAAGAGCTTCCATTCACCTCCTAGGAACCATTCAATATGTTAAACTTCTCCTCCCACTTCTACATTATTTAAAGATTGAACCTCTTTTTGGATATCTGCAAGAGCTTCAGAAAGGCTTTCATAGTTTTCAGGCACTTTAATTATTGATATGATGTGGTTGCCATCAGCTATCATTGCATTTGACCCTTCCTCCAAAATTGTACGCAAATGTTATGTTTACAACATGAAGTCTTTTTCCCACTTTTGTGTCATCACCACATAATTTTATTCATACTTTTCTACTTTGCCTGAAAGACTCTGATAGGTCACTATTTTCAACAAGCCATTCCATTCTGATTTTCAACCTTTCTCTATTTTTTGCTGTGCTGAGGAATCTAGCCCAATTCTTTTATCCAGAATTCTAGTCCACATGTTACCTATATAGAAATTACCGACATATCTGCAATATAGAAAAATACTTATTGCGTCTCTTCATGGAACTAGCCAGTGTTGCCACTCACTATTTTACAAATTCCCAAGATTTTGAGCAAAAAGTCCCAAGATCCTTTAAAATATCCCAAGATCCCCCACAGTCGTTTCTGGGGGACCCCTTTGTCATGGGTACACGATTAGCCGCACTAATGAACGCATAATGTAAGGACTGGAATGAATTGATTTTTGTTTTAATTTTAATTTCATAAAAATCGATAGTTTATGTATATAAGTGTTGAAATGATCAAATATAGTTCGTGAAACGCAACAGTACATAAAAAAGTCAAACATGGTGATGGTAACATCGTTGAAACAGCCAAATCGACAACATGCTAAGTGCTAACCAGACCCTATCTCAACAGTCTCTTCGTTTACAATGTCACAAACATCAGTCACATTTTCTTCCTGTTCCTGACGCTGACAATGTTTCTAAAGTACTCCCTCCGACAATGACCAAATTGTACGTCTTTTACAAGTTTCGTAGACGGCTCCCACGTGTAGCAATGCGCACCTTGTCGAGCAATAGCTTGTCTTGCAATTAATCTGTTCCTCAAAGTTGAACAATGTAGGCGGTTGGTTTGAGGAGTCTTTATCATGTTAACTTGGGAAAAAATTCTCTCGACACAGGCAGATGAGTGAGGCAAAACAAGCAGGTTGCACATAAAATTTCCCAAAAGTTCAAACTTTTTATTGCCGTTACCATCTTTAATAGCTCTGATCTCATCCCAAAACTGTGTTGGGGAATTAGTCATGCCTTTAAGAGAGTCTGTGGCATATAACAATTGCCTCCACTGATCATCAAGTTCATCCAATTGATATTCAGACACTAAAGACGGAAAATGGTGTGCTAGTACCGCTATCGAGTTTAATGACCGCCTGCTGGATAATGCCTCTGAAGGGTTGACTGCTGATAGGAAAGCTAGAACTCCATCACTTTTGAAAGAAAACCTCTTCTTTATTTGGTCACATAACTCAAGGAGAAAGTTACGGCAATCGTTTCTGAAACGTTGTTCTTGGCTACCCAAAGACTGTTGGGTGCACAGGACTGTACATCTTCCTCCAAGATGAATAACGTTGAGAGGCTTGTATAGCTTTACGTCATTTGGATCAATCTCGTCCAACGGTGTTTCTCGTACGACTTTGTCGTGGATAAACATGGCCAAAATGCTTCTATACTCATCCGATATAGAACTGTACAGTGTGTGCAGCTTGAAATCTTGAGCCTGAAATTCAGCATTTAATCTGTCCACTTTTGACAATATGTAATTTAGGAATGCCATAATATACTTGGTTCCATTCGTCGTCATGGTTTCATAGATCTTGACTGCCCCGTCTACACGAACACATGGAGACTCAGATTGAAAGAAAAGTTTTAATGCATCCCATTGCTCTAAAATTCTGGCAACAACTTGGCCTCGGGAGAGCCACCTCGTCTGTGAAAGCTTGAGAACTTTATGACAGGCGATTCAACAATATCTTGTATTAAAGTAAATGCTTTGAACTCGGGAGTATCGTTATATGTTTGTAAATGATGATCGTCCAGGTTAATAAAGTCCTGAGAAGGACTGTTTTTGTTGTTGTTGACTGACGTTTCGACAACCTTAGCGGTAGTCATCTTCAGAGTCAAATGAGGAGTAAACTATGAGGCGCCGTTCGTTGCAAAAATCAAAAATGTTATTCTCATGTATTGAATTGCTCTCACCACACATTGAATTCGTTATCCACATGATTCATAGACTGAAATCCTTTCATTCCATATTAAAAAGCCATAGACTTTTGATTTTGCTAAATTTTCACCTTGTTTTTGTAAAAATCTCACTTTGTTTTTGTATAAATTTCACTTTGTTTTTGTATAAATCTCACTTTGATTTTGTTTAATCTCACTTTGATTTGTGAAAATCTCACTTTGTTTTTGTGAAAATCTCGATGTGGTTTTGCGTAATTTTCAAAATATTTATCATATTCATCATAAGCAATTTCATAATAACAAAATGGCGGGTAGTGAAACGAGCAGTTCCTCTATCATTGATACAATAATTAACAGCCAAAACTTTCGGGATAGTTTATCACGAGCATTTGACGCTTCGCAGAATACTAATGCTGCATCTTTTAATAATGTCGAATCCGAGGTTTCGTCGATATTTCGTCCTCGTGGGGCTGCTGCAGTGAATAGACAAGAATTTGACTCGCAATGGAACACACAAATGACACGATGTTCACAGTCAACCACTTCTCAGTCGCTAAATACGTTTACACCTGCTCTACCTGGGGTGCAGCCAACGAACACCTATCCAATATTTGATGTGAGACGAAATTATACCTCTTCTACCTCAAGAAGGTATAGGCAGTTAAAATTCTAAGAGTTTTGTTGTTGTACCGTCCGATTGAGATGCCCCTTAAAAAGTGGTCCTTTCGTATGATGTATACTGAAATAGAACGATGACAGAATTTTACTTTTGTTTTGTTGTGTATTCTAAAGAAGAAAACCTTCAAACTATGTGAAAAGACGTCATAGCAAGTTACATTCTACCTTCACAAAAGAAGTTGTACTTTTGACTTCCCCTGCTGACAATGTCGTCCCAAAACAACAGAGCAAGCAGAATCTTTACCAATTAGGTCATGTTTTAAGTGCAGTACAGATAAGCAAAGACTGGAGTGAAAATCAAGTTTTGCAGAACCTTAAGGATTTCTTCAAAGAGAAACTTAATGACACAAGGTTAGAAATATTATAACTTTGCAACTCGTATTTAATTTAAGCTTACAGTTTACTGTCATTATTTTTATAGTGTAGAAATAATGATGGGATGTGGCAATAAAATTGTCAGGCCTGTGTTAATGCCTGATCAGGAGTTATCTGGATACATTTTAAGTAAAATATTTGCAACAAAATCCATTTATCTCAAACCATCTAAAAGTCTGGTGGGAATAAAGGTATTATTATTTTACATGACTTATGTTTTTTGGCTAGCTTTGCTGTTGTGCTTACTTATCGCACATTTTTTTAAGATTGAGTCTGGTAGTAGTGATGAAGATTTTGATGAGCTACCTTCTACATCAAGGAGACTGGATTCTGAAGAATCTTGCACTAGTACAAACAAGAGTTCAAAGAAACAAAAGATATCAGATAGTATTGATGGGTAGGCTGCAATAGTGTTTAAACTTGTTGCATATGCGCATTAAATCTTTCACATTCTGAACAAATTATTACTGTTTTGTTGCATTTTTGTAGAATTGAAATGAGGAATGTGTTCCAAAGCAGAGATGTAACAGAGCATCATGAAAAAGCAGCAGATCATCCAAGTGAAAATTGTTTGCAACATCCTGGAAATTTAGTGGAAGGTAATGATTGCTGCCTTGATGATTTGTATGCATCACTACTCTTTGATGAAGTCAATAGTGATATAATTGTTGATGCTGTTGATGTTGAAGATAACGATGATCAAAATCAGTCTGCAACAAGTGTTGGCCCTTCCAATTTTGATGAATTAAATCTTAAAGAAATTCTTGAGCAAAAGTCAGAAAGCATTTCTAATTCTCAAATTTCAAAGTTTAATATTTGTCGAAATAGTATTTGGGAAGGAACAAAACGTGCAATGTTGAGAAAGTCATTTAGTCCAGAAAATAGGATGTCAGTGAAATTTACTGATGACATAGGCGTTTCTGAAGGTGCGGTTGACCAGGGTGGTCCAATGAGAGAATTTGTAACTCTTGTGCTGGAATATATTACTAATTCTTTAGTTATTTACTGGCCCCAATGAGAAAAAAATGTTGTCTTGTAATGGAAGATGTTTGGAGGAATCTGAATACTTTCTGGCAGGACAATTTTTTGCAATATCTCTTGTTCATTGTGGAATTGGGCCAAGGTGCCTCAGTCCTATCCTTTTTGAATGTCTGATTGGGTGCCCAGACAAAGTTTCTGTTTCTGTTTTTGATGTTGATGACATAGACATTCGAATGAATCTTCAAAACTTACTTCAAGCCAAAACAGTTGAGGATGCGCAAAATTTGATGTGTTCTTCTAACATAGAAACACTACTCCATATACATCTAAACCAACTCCTTGAATGTCGTTGTAATGATTCATATTCCTTATCATTCCAGAATGCCAAAGCTGCATGGGGGTTTTCCCTTGCACTGAACTTAAACTGTGGTTGTTCCATTGTGAAACAAACTCGTATAGGCACGTGTTTATTCTTGGCAAAAAGACGAAATGAAGCGCCCATATGTGTATTTCATTTGTTGCATCCAAAATATCGCAGTTTTGCATAAATGTAAATAGATTTTTGAAAACAGAATTCACGATCCTGTTAACTTCACTCCATAATCTTTCTATTCTTTGATTGTGGACACTACGTCCACATATAAAGCTTCCCCTATTGAGGCCTCTATTCGCAATCATATACCTCGCAACATCAATATTTTCCACACCGCGGTCGCCGCGAACTCTCGACGGTAGACCAAATCGTTCCACACCATCTTGAAAAAGGCTGAGTACAGTCGATGCTTTATTGTTTGACGAACAAATTAGGTACACGATAGCCCTACTAAAGCCATCAATGCAGCCGTGATGAACGAATCTCCATGCAATCAGTTTGTGATTCCCATCAATGTGCCTAAATAGATATCGTATTGCGCCTTACTTTAATTATTTAATTATCACGGTATACTTCTGATTCTATCCATGCATTCGTAGTTTGTAAAACATGATACATTCCACAAAACATTTGGGATTGTAATGTTATATACTCGTCGTCTTATACAGTGTCTTCTACGAAAAGCTCGTCCAATGGGATCTAAAATCTAAAAAACAATTCATTCTAAGGTTGACTATAGGTATACATGCATTTAAAAAGTTTAATGACTGTCATTAATTATTGATTAGCGATCAAATGAAAAATACTTGTAGTCTTTCTCTCAGTCTCCATCTTTGGATTCTAATCCCTCTAGCTCTCAGGCTTCCTCCGACAAACGGTTCACCAGCATTTGGACTGTTGTGTAGTATGGAAGTCAAAATATCATCCAGGTCTGCATCTGCTATGTTAGAGAATCTGTAAGCTTCGTTGGTATTTATTCCAATTTTTTTCCGAAGTCTGTAGATAGTTGTTCTATTCACATTTAACGTATCGGCAATTGCAGACCATGACATCCCTGCACGGCGCAATTGCCCAAGTTGGCCACACGTGATAGAATAACTAAAACAAAGACAAAGATGCATTGAACCTATTGAATAGGTTGACGAGTAATTCAGCATTTTTGATTAAATAAAGGAATAAATCAGATAAACAACCCTCAGCATTATATATAAAAATTGGTCTCGCAGGTGTTTTTTTACTCAAAGTAGTTGTATTTGTGCCCATTTGTGACATTTTCTTGAAATATTCATACCTGGGTCTTCCTCTTTGTCCAGTTGTCTCTACTTCCGAATAAAATTCATTTTCATGTTCTGGCAAGAATCTCTCAATACTAAACGAATAATGTCGGTACAGTAGAAGCAAACTGTTATACAAGTTTTGAAGAAGTCCAGTGAGTATTTCATGTTCGTTACATCTTTCAACGAAGTAAACAAGAATGCTCAATTGATCATGCAGTTTTCGTCGAATGAACTCCAACAAATTGACATCATTTGAGGTCCATAGTCGGTCTGCTTCGTTGCAGGTTCTCTTTAAGGATTGAAAATACTCACAAATATCTTCTTCGATGGCATGAGCATAGAAACAGCACATGCAAACGATTATAAGCAATCGAAATATCACATTTTCTGCCGCCATTTTGGTATTATTACGTGCAGTAAAAAAATTGACGTAAAATTTTACAAATACAAAGTGAGATTTTCACAAAAACAAAGTGAGATTTTCACAAATCAAAGTGAGATTAAACAAAATCAAAGTGAGATTTATACAAAAACAAAGTGAGATTTTTACAAAAACAAAGTGAAATTTATACAAAAACAAAGTGAGATTTTTACAAAAACAAAGTGAAAATTTAGCAAAATCAAAAGTCTATGGCTTTTTAATATGGAATGAAAGGATTTCAGTCTATGAATCATGTGGATAACGAATTCAATGTATGATGAGAGCAATTCAATACATGAGAACAACATTTTTGATTTTTGCAACGAACGGCGCCTCATAGATAATATCTTGTATGAGACGGAACTGGTGTTGTCGCCGACTGCTACGGGAAAAATAACAGCAGACATCTTTCACAAATGCTTCCAACCATGAAGGTAGGCGACAACTTGCATAGTGTGCGCAGAGAGCAAAGGAGTGACAAATGCAACCAAAGACAAAAAAACCAGGTACATCTTTTTTTAAAAGAGCCTGAAAACCTCCATTTTTGCCCATCATTGTTGAACAATTGTCGCCAGCAAAACCAACAACATTACTTAGTGGTATGGCTCGTTCTTGAAAAAAGTTTTTAACAGCCGCATACAATCCATCAGCAGTGCCGTTTTCTACTTCAAGGGCAGTCAATAAAGCATCAATCGCTTTCCTTTCATGGTAAAATCTGACGACAACAGCAAGAATTTAGGAGACTGAAATATCTGTGGATTCGTCTACGATCAGAGAAAACTTGTTTTTCTGACAGATTGCTGATATTGACTCCATTTCCTCTCGTGCAATTCCTTCTTGAACAACATATGATGCCTTTGTTCTTTTTAACTGCATTTTTTGAGCAATTTTGCTGTCGGGAAACATTTTTTTCATTAACTCGCTGAGATGATCAGCCTGAAGAAAAGGCGTTCGGTGCTCAGCTAGAAAACCAGATAACAAAACTTCAGCTTTTGCTGTCATTTCGTCAACATCTGGCCCTGTTTGCTTTTGAAAAAACTTGCTCACTTGCAAAGTATTTTGCTTGGCTTTATATGCATCAGTATGTTTCTTTGTTGCTTTATGTTTCATCAAAGCCGACTTGTTGGGACCGTTGAATGTATGTTCACACACTTTGCATCTCACTGTGAATTTATGTCCAGGATCTTTTGAAATCCAATCTGCTAATTCTGGATCTTTTAACCAAGCATTGTTGAACGATTGCTTGTACCATTTTTTATCTTCAGGTTTTGCTTTTTTTCTCGATGGACGATGATCATTCTTATCACTTGAGTTGCTTTCTTCGTCATACATTCTGCTTCTGAAATGTGTATGCACTGTAGTGTTTTGAGCTCCCCACCCGAATGAAGCAAAACAAGTCAAGTTTACCTCAGGCTTGAATCCTCAGAAAAAGGTCGCCATTTTGTTTTTACAAAACCATACAGGAAAAAGTTTCTTGGATGTTCAATGTTCGCGTTCAATACATTGAGTTGAACAAGAACTGGAGGGAACAAGGGGCCTGGACCCGGTTGTCAAAAACATGGCGATGATGGCAGATTTTGGTTGTCAAACTTCCACTTTAAAAATTATTTTTAATATTCACTCCCTCCTGATTTCTACTATTCAATAGTAAAGACAACCAAGAAATGCAATACCAATTAATAATATTTTCGATCGAAAGAAATGCTTCAGCGTTTTATGGAATACACGTACATTAATTTAAAGAATATCCACGGTAAAAGAACTTATAGTATGTTCAAATAAACATCAGATTCAGACGGCATCTTCAGTGGGAGGGTGTGAAGGTTGTCAAGCTTATTTATAAACACGTGTCACACTTATTTATAAATTCATAATACGAGATAATATTACCTATGAAATATTTAAACAAAATATCCCAAGATTTTACAATATTTCGAAAAAACTCCCAAGATCCCAAGCTTGAGCAGAAAATCCCAAGATCTTGGGAGAAATCCCAAGGCGTGGCAACACTGGAACTCGCTACTTGTTTTGCGAGGAGAAGACTGGGACGAGATTTTAGGCTAACTGGAAATTGAAATAATGGCGTCGAGGGTGACGTTCATTACATGGACATTATTCTCTATAATAGTGTTCCACAGTGAATTATTTGGACATTATCGCACCTTTTCACAAGCTAAATTGATAAAAGACCATTCTCGCTCAACCTCTTTTACGTTAAAAGTTCTCTACTGGTAAGGTTTTTGATAGTTTTGACTCGTGTAACGTTTGGTATTTTTTCTTTTAATATACTCTTACGTATGTAGTAGGTAAACAAAGCGTACGTAATACTGAGAACTAACCTTTATAACCAACCGAACTTTTTTCAAAAGTTGAAATCATTGTCAAAAAGTTTCAAGAACATTGGGAAGCAGAAACGTATTTTGTTTTAATATTACTATTACGTAATTTACACTCTTGAAGCAAACTGTACTTCTCAGTTGTACTTGCTTGGAACAAGGCAATGCCAATATGACTTATTGGGATTTTAATAAATTATTAAATCATTCAAAACTAAATGATGCAGTGGTATAGTTTTGCCACACACTGTTGTTTTTAAACTGTTGTTGTAAATTTTTAGTAACTCCTGAGGGTACAAGAGGGCGTATGAACAGTACTCAGAGTTCCTTCGCCAACAATATCCTCATTTATCCATAGTTGGTGGCAACTATCCTCCTCCATTAATAAATCAGTATATAGCAAGCTTTCTTAGTGTCAGCAAAATGATGCTGGTTTTATTGATCATATTTGGGGAAAGAATTCAGCTTTTTGAATCACTAAATATGCAGCCACCAGATATTTACCTTTGGACCCAGGAAAACAAGGTAATGTTTAGCATTTAAATTAAATAAAAAAATGGTGTTATTACCTACGTATCCTTACATCACTTTCAACATTTGATTGAATGTGAAGTGAAGCTACGTACATTTGTTTAGTGCTCACTAAACAGGAAAAATACTCAGATTCAAATTCTTTTAATGTTTGTTTTATTAAATTTTTCACATCCTGAGCCGGAAGAGATTTTTAAATGGGAGAGGTGCTTATTAACTTATTTTCAACGAAAACATCCGAAACAAATGTTACTAGTCAGTTACTACCTCCAAAACCCAACAAAACTGTTAGCATAATTTATAAAATAAACATGATGAAATCCGTGTGCTGATTGGTCTAGAGCTGTGTTTGCATTAACCTGTGCAAAACAAATCTGAGCTCAACCAATCAATCAATCAGAACAATCAATCACTCAAAGAGAATTTGGAAATTGTCAAATAGATCATGAATGCATTTTAGAGGAAAAATTAATTAAATACTTTTACATCAAATTTATTTGTTTTGCATTATTGTTATTTTATAAAAGAAATAGAAGATGTTTTTTGTGTTTTCACTAGCTTATTCTAACCTCAGAGATGTTTGTGAGAATTCTCAAGCAGTTGTAACCCTTAACCTTTGTTCTTAGGCTTGCACTGATCTGCTCTCGAGTTCTCCCAAAGGTCTCCTCCGTTTGCATAAGCCTGTACAAACACAATAAACATCTTTTATTTTTTAAATAATGTCAACAAATACAATGTAATGCATCTGCGTACAATTTCCTGTTATTTATTATTGTCTGTCAAGTTATCGACATCCTGATTGTGTTTACCTCCTTATTAACCTTGTCCAGGTGCAGTCCCTAATCTGGAGCAGTGCTAAAACGAGCATTTACCATAGTACAACATAACCTATTGCCTCATCAGAAACGTCCTGTGTTGTGTTAGCTTTTAGTGCTGTGTTCTGTCCTGTGTTGTGTTAGCTTTTAGTGCTGTGTTCTGTCCTGTGTTGTGTTAGCTTTTAGTGCTGTGTTCTGTCCTGTGTTGTGTTGTGTTGTGTTGGACATCAAATGTTGTATCAAATTTTACATCATACCTGTACTTCATAATTTAAATTTTCTAACCATTCACCGCTTAGTATCCACATAGAAAATTGTGAAATATGAATATTGAATAATAGGTGGAAAAACACGTCCATCTATTGTTATGTCTACACGTGGTTACACTTTCACATCAATATGTTCTAACAATAATTACATTGCTCTGGCAACCATTTTTACCAACGATTTAGTCTAGAGCCTACAAGTTTGACTGACAAATGAAAATGCGAACTTCTGTAACGGTTATCTAACGCTTATTCTCAGCATTTCAAGCTACGTAAAGTTGAGCATGTGTGCTCATTTACCAAAACCCTCGGTTTTTTATTCAAAAATAAAAATAAAAAACCGGTAAACATACTTACGAAATCAAAATCCGGTAAACCGATTTACGAAAAATCCCCAATTTTTATTGGTTAGCCTACAACCCGCCACAGCCTGATGTCAATCAAATGACCTACAGTATTTTTCTTGTTATTACAAAATGATTCGAGAACAGTTTTTTTCAAAACTTAAGTCATAAAGAAATTCATGCTTACGTATGTTTTAAAAAGAAATTCATGCATACGTACGTATGTAACAACAAACTTAGATTGTTTTGATTTTTATAGATGTATGCCATTATATTGATTTTCTTCCTGTCAAATGCTGTTGAGGGACAGCTAACGTCAACAGGTGCTTTTGAAATAGAGCTCAACGGTATTATTATTTTATTAAACTACAGAAGGCCAGTATGTGTATTTGCTCTAAAATAGATTTATTTCGATACATCAGGTGATTTTACTGAACACCCAATTTTTTCATGAAGAAATACGTGGTGTATTATCATGTCTCATTTGCTTGAACTTATTGTTTTGTGGGTTTTTTCCACAGAGATTCCAATTTGGTCAAAATTAGAATCTGGTCGCCTACCCCACCAACAAGAACTTATTCAAATTATTAATCAGCAACTCCAATTCAGGAGTTAATGGAATAGGAAAAGTGTGTAGAAGTAAGTGTTATGTCATTCTCTATCTACAGTGCTTCCGACTTGCTCATTCTGTAAAACTGCCGTTAAAAAACTAACATACTTTTTCTGTAGTTTTCTATTGTTTTCACTAGCTATATAATGAAATGTTTAAACAATAAGTAAATAACTGTCAAGACGCTTTTCTATAAACAACTAACGTTTTTCGCCTAAAAAACAAACCAGTTTGGATTGAAGTAAATATTTTTTCCATAGCTCTATTCCTTTCATTCGAATTATGTTTGTCCCTTTGCAACAGTGAAAGTGTGCTTTCTAATGCATTCTTTATGTAACTCTTTCCATTTTATCAAGAGAGTGGTTAACAGGATTTTTTTTACATTCAACAAAAGTTTTTTTTAGTGATTTTCACAAAAAGTAAAATTTCCAATATATTCAGGTTCAATTACACATGCGTTATAAAATGCTAGACTTTAGTATAAACTTGCAGTGCACATCATCGACTGTAAATTGGATGCGTTTAGCTTCGTTTGTGCATAAATTTGTTTTATATTTGTATAAATGCTTTGCAGGTGATCATTCATAATTTTAAGTAAGCTGTTAGCCTTTGAAACGAAACATATTTGTAGAATTTCGCTGTCTGTTTTATCTTTGACTTGCGGTTAAAAGCTTTTCGGTGTGCAAAATGCTCGCACTCTTATTGAATGACGCATGCGCCACTGTGTGATGTTGAAAAGGTCAGTAGCACTTGTGTGCTCTCGAGCAGCTCTAGAGCAACGCCACAGAGTTGAAGTCATTCTACTTTTAAGTTCGTTGTTTTGCTCTCAAACTCCAGCCTTCCAGATCACTGGAATAAAGCGGTAATTTTTTCATTAAAAATCACTGTTTTGATAGGAATCCTATCCCTTCTTCTTCAACGAATTAAATAGATAGAAATTACGTTGTTTTTTGAGCATAGGAGAAGTGACTATCTTTTACATGTTTCTAAATGCAGATCGTCCAGGTTGGTACAGTCCTGAGAAGGACAGTTTTTGTTGTTGTTGACTGACGTTTCGACAACCTTAAGGCTGCTTTCCACTGTTGCGTTTTTTTTCCGTGCGTACATCCATAGATAAAAACGCACGGATTTTTAATCTCCAGTGCTGCGTTTTGCGTTGTGCATAAATTTAATGCGTGCTGCAATTCAAAATGGCGTCGAAAGAGGAGCGAAAATTAGCAATTCTACTTTTGCTTCGCCAAAGACGAAAACGAAGGAATAAATACAAAAAAAGGTTTTGGATTAAAGATATTTTAAAACGGCGAAAAGAACTGGGGGAATACCATCGGCTCATTCAAGAAATGCGGTTAAATGATCCTGAATCATTTTATCAATACTTTCGGATGACCCCTTCGCGGTTTGATTTACTTCTTGGTCTGGTTGGGCCATACTTGAAAAAGAATTCCTTATACCGCGAGCCTGTGAGTCCTGAAGAACGCCTCGCTGTTACTCTTCGCTTTTAGCAACAGGCGACTCTCAACAAAGCATAGCATTCAGTTTTCGACTTGGCCATGCTACTGTGACCAAAATCGTAGAGGAGTCTTCCGAAGCTTTGTGGTCTGCGTTGCAACCGTTTATCAAGCCTCCAACGACAACAAGCGAATGGAAAAAAATCGCAACAGATTTTTGGCAGTTGTGGAACTTCCCAATGTGTTGCGGTGCCATTGATGGCAAACATGTAGTCATGCAATGTCCCCCTCGGGCTGGTTCGTCATTTTTTAACTATAAAGGTAAATAAGAGTTCTTAGATAACGATATACATTGTAAATTTGCTGCTTACATGTTGGACAAGTCAAGTGAAACTGCATGTTTGTGAATATTGTGATTAAGCGAGTATGATTTTTTAACAATTTTTTATTTCCATTTAGGAACACATAGCATTGTTCTGTTGGCAGTTTGTGATGCTAGGTACTTGTTTACTCTAGTGGAAATTGGCAGCTCAGGCAGAAATAGTGATGGAGGTGTTTTTGGTGAGTCTAAATTTGGAAGAGCCATTGAAGATGGCAGTTTAAAGTTACCATTTGCAGATCCCCTTCCAAATAAACCAACAGAAGTTTGCCCATATTTATTCACTGCTGATGATGCATTCCCCCTTAAACCATGGATGATGAAACCCTACCCAGGAAAATTTCTTGATAAAAAGCTCAAAATATTCAATTACCGTCTGTCACGAGCAAGGAGAGTTGTTGAGAATGCATTTGGAATCACTGCAGCTAGGTGGAGAGTGCTAAGAAGACCTATAATGGCTTCAGCTAAAAAGGTGGCAAGTATAACTAAAGCAGTCTGTGCACTTCACAATTACCTGATGTTAGAAGAATTCGGTATTCCTAATTCATCAAAAAGGTATTGCCCAGCTGGATTTGTTGACACAGAAGACAGGTATAATTGCTATTTTCTCCGGTTAAAATAACTTAAATCTTGAGCTTATAAAATGATGTTTTTTCTCTTAGTATATTTTATCTTATAGTTACTATAGTATATGCAAGTTTTGAATGCCTGTATCTAATTTTAAGTCAGTTGGTTATGGTCTTATCATCTTAAGCATCTACCACTAGTCACTATATGAAATGTGCATGATAATACAACTAAATGAAATTGCCACAGTATTCGATAACCTAAAATGTTATAACTAAAGAAATTTTTATAGGTATGGACAGAACCTGCCAGGAGGATGGCGATCTTTGACAGAAGGAGACACGGGTCTGCAACAAATTTCACGACAAGGAAGCAATAACTATTCACGAAATGCCAAATCTGTGCAAAATTTACTGACAAATTATTTCTGCTCACCAGAAGGGGAAGTACCTTGGCAATATGCGTATGTGCAAAATAATGGTAGACAAGAAAAATAAACCTGTTTCTGTAAAACAATTTTACATTTATAATATCATCTTATTAATAAGTTGTATTTATTTAATTAGCAAATGTATGTTTCAACTGAACAAAGAATAATCTGTTTCTTACAAACATCAACGACTTTTCTAAGTAACTTGAAAGTTAGTTCAATAACTTAAGTTTTCCACTTCATTTTACTTTACATCCTTCTCATGCTAACTGTTTGTTGACATTGAAGAGATTGCTTCACTTAAAACAATTTGAATTTTACTCATTGCCTTACTTTTGCTTCTTTATCCAACAAATGTAGCTGAGCAGCAACACTTTTACCAAATGCATCTTCTATAGTTACCATAGCTGATTGATTTTGCAAGGATTTCTCACCACCAGATATATATTCCATGATTTTTACATCCAAGGCCCGATCAAGTTGCTTTTGTGACATTGCTGCATAAGACCTTTTCTTACTTGGTTGTTTTGAAGCAACATTTTGAACGTTTTCAATAATCTCAAACGAAGGGAAAGATTCTTGAGAAAATGCCTCAATACCAACCGTTAAATCATCAGTAGAAGGTTCAGATGTGATGGTAAGTGGATCTTGGCATGGACTTGAAAGAACAACTGGTTGGAAATTGCTGTCCGAATTCTTTGTTCGAATATTAACATAAGGTTTCAGAAATGACATTGCCAAAAGGTATGGATAATGTGGAATTTCATCCACACCTGCTCCACTTTTTCCCATTTCCACTTAACACACGGACATATGAATCGCGTAGGTTTTCCAAATTCTGTCTCTGTAGTCGTTTACTGGGTCAAAAATATTTAAGAATACACTTCGTTTATTACAACACAACACAACATATGCATTTATATTACCTGAATACGTTGATTGACAAGCTGCATTCACAGCATCAGTCACTATTTGCCACGCATTTTCCTTAATATTTTGTTCTTATAGTTAGTGTCTTTTGTATTCCAAAGCGCTGGGTATTTTTCAATTTCTTCAATAAGTTTCTCCTCAACTTTTGTATATTTTCCCATCTTTTTTCAACTTGTAAATCAATTGGCAAAAGCATGCTTCATTGTAAAGCACGTGATCTGTAAATTCATTTTCATTGGATAATTGCTCGCGTTTTTCAATTTTGCTGCGTAAAAGTTAAGTTGTGCTCAACTTGTGCGTTTACGCGCTTGGGGGATACGTACGGAAACGTAAGGGTACGCGCGTTGAAAAACGCAACAGTGGAAAGCAGCCTTTAGCGGGCAAACGTCAGGTTAGCCGTATTTGTTATCTGGTTCTTACGTCATTGTATTGTGTGTACAGGAAATGTGTATTGTCATTGTGAATTAGTGTGAAGTGAAATATTTTTATTTTTAGTTGTGATGTGTGATTTAAGTGTGATGTTTTTAGTTGTAATGTGTGAGTGTAAATTGTGTATTGTCATTGTGAATTAGTGTGAAGTGTAATGTTTTTAGTTGATCGTTTGTATTGTGAATAAGTCGTTTGTAAGGTGCCGGTAATTGCTGTGATCTGTTCAGGGGGGTTTGTTCCATTTTGCCGAGTCCCAGTCAATGTTGTGCTGACTATAGACGACGGCATACATTAGAAAGTTGGTATACCAACTTGGAACAAACCCCCCTGAACAGATCACAGCAATTACCGGTACCTTACAAAAGACTTATTCACAATACAAACAAACGATAAACTTAAAACATTACACTTCACACTAATTCACAATGACAATACACAATTGACACCCACACATTACAACTAAAAACATCACACTTAAATCACACATCACAACTAAAAATAAAAATATTTCACTTCTCACTAATTCACAATGACAATACACATTTCCTGGTCACACAATACAATGACTTAAGAACCAGATAACAAATACGGCTAACCTGACGTTTACTCCTCATTTGACTCCGAAGATGACTACCTCTAAGGTTGTCGAAACGTCAGTCAACAACAACAAAAATAGTCCTCAGGACTATACCAACCTTGACGATCTACATTTACTAACATGTAACGATACGCCCGGGTTTAAACCATTTACTTTATGACTATCTTTTGTTTTCTCAACAAAAAGCGCACGAGTACAATTTCCGCCACGTGGAAAAACCTTCACACTTGGAAGCAACATGCGCCCGAGCATTGTTCTCAATGCGTAAAATGCAGCTGAATGGAATTTAGCTTTAAGAGAGACAGGCGTTCTGTTTTATTCATATTTTTAATGTCATGTCATTGATCATTATTCCTTATTCATTTTAGTGCTTTGGCTACGGCATAAGATATGTTGGTGAATTCTGAATGATAATGAAAGTTTATGCCGAAACAAGCGTCAAGCTGGAGGCCTGAACTGGATGCACCTCGTGACGAATTTTCTGGATTAACTACTGCCGTACTCACTTGCACTTATAATAAATCAAAAGAATCAAACTTTACTATTAATGTCAAAACTTAATTTATTTATAAAATGTAAACTAGACTTTTCGATTATTATTTTATTGGTTTTTCGTGAAATATGAAAGAAGAAAATCAAAAATTTGCTTTTCCGTATCGTTTAGAAGCCATCACCCTCGTACCCTTTGGTATTTATTTATAAATGTGTTGAATTCAATGGCATAATACATTTATGTTGATGGCCTATAAAACCCACGGAACAGTAGCCTCTGTCAATGCAACATACAACATATGGACAACAACCGTAACCAGCAATGTCTTCATATTTAGGACAGCTAGTGTGCGTGGATAAATTAAAGTATGGTTCTTCATTTATAAATCCACACAATATAGGATTTGCATTCTAGAAGCAATTTGAAAATTAAGAAATAATCAAAGCAGAATCCACATTAAAGTAAATGGTTTGAAACCAGGAGTATCGTTACATGTTTGCAAACATGTAACACGATCTAAATTTACAAACATGTAAGAATCCACATTATTGAACAGTAGGACTGAAAGTAAAGATTGAAAACTGTTGTATAATAATCTTTATAATAACATGGTTGCCTCGCAGGATCTTTTGTTATCACTGGGACGTTTACTGACGAATTTCCTTCATCACATATTCATTAAGGACGAATTAGACTAACTATCCCTCATCAATGTATTCATTAGGACGTTTAGAGTAAATATCCCTCATCAATATATTCATAAGGGACGATTAGACTACATATTCCTCAAGAATAAAACAACACGCAAATAATTTTCAAATTTTATTTTCGTCATCTATAAATTGCTTCAGTTTGCATCTCAACTATTCCAGGGCTGAATTATTTTCAATTCTGCTCAATGAAAAAGGTTAATAGCATGTCATCGACAAGTCTATGGAAACCACAATACTTGGAAGGCAAGTTTACCAGTCAAAATTCCTCTTGCTCGACTAATGTTACATCGTTGATTCTTCGGAGTCAAACACGAGAACTTTCACCCTATTGCTGAAAATCGCCAAACTTGCGTTATTAAAAGCCTTAGTGCCTCACAATTTACGTCGTTGTATGATAACAGAAACCATCTTTCCCTCGCGTTAGAAACTTCCTTGTTACAAGCTAACTTGGGAAAACCAGCGATCAACTATCAATAACTTCAACAATAATTAAACTGCAGTACGTGTTTGCAAAGAGAATTCATACATATAGGTTCTCTCAACCAATTCAAAAACCGAATTCACAGTAAATAGCTAGATGAATTTGTTTATTCCATCACTGACTATGAACAATGTATGCTTCAAACATTATCGAGATTGTCAATATTGAAATAAGTAAGCTCAATATTGGATAAAGTTTAAAAATTAAATGAGACTTACCTGTAAGTTGAAGTTTGACTGTAACGCTATGAGTTATTGGACAGGAAACTAAGAAGTCACGTGAGATATGCGTGGGAATACAAACCAAATTGGTCTTTCGGGCATTAATGTGGGCACGAGACACACTCTCGACAAATAAAACAATAGGAGTGAAAGTTAACTTTGAAAATTGGTGTATGACAATCTTTATTAACTCTTCATTTGGCAGTGTTGCCATACGGCAAAAAATGAAAAACGATTTGAAACGCAACCAGAAAAAATTCGCCGGCATCTCCATCACAAATCTTTTTCAAAAGCAACCCACCCATATTTTGACAGCTCTCAATCAAACTTAACGTAACATGTTCACTGATCTTATATTATTTTTACAGGAATGGGCTAACATTCACGACACACTCTCCCCTTTTCTTGTTCACGTAAACACAACTAATAAATAATATTTCTTATTTTATCGTTATCTTTATACGAAAGTATTCCTTAAATGCCTTGCGCTCCTTCCACCGATGTTATCCGTTCGGGTCTGTACTCTCTTGCTTCTGGGCTAAACTCGACTTGTTTTTTTACATCACAATGCAATTCCAGTGGATAGAGAAACTGAATTAGTCTTTCCAGATAATTCTTACCGGCACGAAGTCTGACTGTCCTCACGACTCCTTCTCGACCAGGTATAAGGTCAGTCACTACTCCGATCTTCCACTTTCCTCTGTTCTTTTCTTCTCCTTTAATAAGCACCACATCTTTTTCTTCAATTGCATACGTTTCCCTTTATGTCTTAAATCGTGTTTTTCTCTAAGTGCCCTCATTTATTCCTTTTTCCAACGCCGCCAGAAGGAATCTTTGCACTTCTTTAAATACGACGCTTTCTTTTGTAGATCGATGTCTTCGATTTTTTCACGAGACGTTTCCATAAGATAATTCGCCTTCACTAAAATCACGATATTTGGTGTGATCAACGGTAGTTATACATCATCTTCACAGTACGTTAACGGTCTATTGTTCAATACTGTCTGGTGTCCGACAGCACGTCTTGTATCTCTTTGTAAGTAAGCTTAGCCGCCCCAACGACTTTGTAAAGAGAATTCTTCACTAACGCAACTGTTCTCTCGAATAGTCCTCCCCATCAGCTTGCTTTGCTCAAGTTGAGCAGCCATCTACTTTGATAACTCTGTAGAAACACATGAAATTTGTCATCTTTATATTTTTTATATTACACTCGACCTCATTCAGTAATTATTGAATGTTATATTTGACGTATAAAGAAACAATTGTCTCTGGAACATCAGATATTGTGCGTGCCTTAGCTCAGATTACATGACAAGAACAAAGAAGAATAATTAACCAAAAAATAGCTCGTTCAGCTCTGTAACACTAAAAAGCTTTGAGTTTGTTTTTTCCCCAGAATACGATTAATTGCTGCCAGTCCCAAAAGTCTTTCTGGCTTTTTTTAGGATTAAACACAGGACACTTGAAGATGTACATTTATATAGTTCTGTAAGTAGATCCATCACAAGTAAAGTGACAGTCGTTGAAAGTGTCAATATATGCATGCTTTAATATATAAAATAAGAGTGCATGTACGTGGTGTTCACGCCAACCATTTATTTAGTTCTGTAAGTAGATCCTTCACACAGAGTGCCACAGGTACATGCGACAGTCGTCAATATGTGTATGCTTTTATATAAAATAAAAGTGCGTATTATATTTATTTAGTTTTTTATTGTACCTACATTTAGACGGGATCTTCGTGTTATAGGATAAACTATTATATGACTCCATACGCTTCATCTGACTTCCACATAAAGCAGACAATCTGACCTGATTTTTGTAGTTCTAACGCTTGAGTTTGCCCGATATCAAAGCGACGTTTGGTCGCCCTTGATTTAGTCGAAACTTTAGAATGAACGGTAACATTTACTTACAAACGTTGAAACACGCGCAGATAAAACGCAGCGTCTAGATGCCCGGCAACCGGGAAGGATTATTAAAATCCTCGTGGGCGTACGAGCCTCCTCATGTTTGGGAGGGCACCACACTTCTTTGCCCGATTGCTGTGTGCTCATAGAAAACGAAATAGATAAAAAATATAGACTTGCTTGAGATTTAGTTGTAAAAAGAAGTAATAGTAGACACCACACACAAGGTGCAGTTTACAAAATAAACTGCTCCGACTGCCACGCCTCCTATATCGGGGAAGCTGGCAGGAACTTAAACATAAGACTTACTGAACACAAACGAGCTACTAAGAAACAAGACAAAACTAAACACATTGCCGAACATCACCGAATCACAAAGCACAACATTGACTGTGACTCGGCAAAATGCATTACTTACAGTACTGACTATAGACAACGGCTCACATTAGAAAGTTGGTATACCAACTTGGAACAAACCCCCCTGAACAGATCACAGCAATTACCGGCACCTTACAAACGACTTATTCACAATACAAACAAACGATCAACGAAAAACATTACACTTCACACTAATTCACAATGACAATACACAATTGACACCCACACATTACAACTAAAAACATCACACTTAAATCACACATCACAACTAAAATTAAAAATATTTCACTTCACACTAATTCACAATGACAATACACATTTCCTGTACACACAATACAATGACGTAAGAACCAGATAACAAATACGGCTAATCTGACGTTTACCCGCTAAGGTTGTCGAAACGTCAGTCAACAACAACAAAAACAGTCCTTCTCAGGACTATACCAACCTGGACGATCTACATTTACAAACATGTAACCACACTGTTCGTATGCGCGAAATTTTGAAAAAGTAGCTATGTTTTTTTTAGCTACGAAAATATAGTGCGAAATTCGCTTTCAGGCACGCAGAAACTAGCAGAAACGCAACTCAGATTTGATCTCGGATGCGCAGTTAACAAAGTTTCCAGTCGGCACAGAGTAGCCAATAAGAATAGTATTTCTAATGTGCAGGAGCAATATGAAATCTGCTTAGAATACCGGCCGTTTACCAGCACAGGTAACGTCTAGTAGCTTAACTGAAATCAAACAAGGCGTGTATATAGTATTCAATCGTGTTTCCAGGTCGGATTGGTTTGTGTGGCCGTTCATACTCATGTATAATGGAAAGTCAGTAAAAATATGATCTTCGGTTATCCGATTCCTAAATATGTCAATGATTTCTCAAAGATCTGAGACAATAACAAAAATACAATTAAATCAGTAAACTTTTTGGTAGCTCTATAGCATGGAAAGACATGTAAACGAATAAATGAATATAATAATTTGTGTTAACAGATGCTAAGTACCTTAAAGATACTGTTAACTACCCAAAACCCTGTAATATAACTTCCATATAACTTGACTCAATTTACGTCATTTAGCCTTTTATTAATTGGCCGAACGACAAATGGTGTTAAGCCCGAATGGCTAAGCTTCAGATGGGCCTGTGCCCCCCAGGCAGGGGGGCTTTAGATGGACCTGTGCCCCCCTCTAGTATGAAAATACTTGATGCCAGCAGTTTCTTTAATTTTGTAAACGCTATTTACGTTTACAAAACTAAAATATAGCCTGACCTAATCAAAACTCAATCTAAATTTGCAGTGCTTGATGAATTAATGTACACAGTTATAAGTAAATGTACTCATTGAAGAGAATTTAATATTTAAATCCTTGCACATAATAGCTAATCTTTATTGAGGATGCCAACATCACTAAATAGTGGTTTACAGAGGGGTCCTCTAAAAGTAACTAAATATAACTACTTAAAAATAAAAAGAAAAAGAATACAAATCGAAAAATATGAAGATAAAACTACATCATTTAAAAATTAACATGCCAAAAACAAAGCTAATTAAAATAGTGCTTTCTTGATACCACGCTTAAATTGGGTTAAGGTGGGCACATCTCTTAGGGAAAGGGATAAGGCATTCCAAAAGTCCGCTGCAAAATTTATTGCTATCCAGTGCCCCCATCTTCTGTGTGCGAATGATTTGCGGATATTTCGCTTTGATCGTGTATTATAGTTGTGATAGTTACTGTTAAAACAGCAGTGAAAAGTTTGCATAAAAAGGTTATTAACTACCTTAAACATAAAAATAGCACGATGCTCGGCTCTCCGCCTTTCTAGGTGTTTCCAATGGAGCTTTGAAAGTGCATCGCTCGCGGAAGCAGTAGGGGGAATATGGCAAGCCAAACGTGACAAAAGTGTATTGAGAATTCCAACCGCTAGTCGAGAATATTAAGCGATGGTCGAGAATATCAAGCGATGGTCGAGAATATCAAGCGATGGTCGAGAATATTAGGCGATGGTCGAGAATTTTAGGCGATGGTCGAGATTTATAACAGTAACAATGGTCAGCGGTCTTAGTAGTAAACTCCTGTTTCTGGCAATACTTGATGTACTTTGAAAGAATTCAGGAATTTCTCGCAATCATGGACGAGGACATTGAAGAACTCAGAGATTTTTTTATTGGTTTACAGAGATTGTTTGGCCAAAGTCTTCAAGTATTTCAAAACAAAGACGCAATAGGTATCGAATATTGCAAAAATAAGTTTGAAAACTACATATCTATTGTCGCAGCAATGTTCGGAGCTGTTTCAGAGTACACAATAACAAGCTCATCTCGCGATTCCTCTTCTGATGATGTTGCCATGTTGCTGGAGAACTTGATCACTGTAATGGAGGAGGGAACTGGAGAAACTGTCGCGTGCCTTTGAGACATGTCTCGAGCAGGAATTGTCCACGAATGAAAATTCGCTTGCAATTGATACGCTTATAAGTACTGGATGTAGACCAGCTTATAATATCAGAAAAGAACAAGTTGAGAAACTTCGTGATACGGGAATGAACTGGACGAACATTGCTAGCTTTCTTGGAATTTCTACCAGAACATTACACAGGAGAAGAATCGACTTTGGAATTAAGCAAAGCTTCTCAGATATTACTGATGCCGACTTGGATGAAGAAGTTAGACAAATTCTTCAGTTAACACCATACAGCGGTGAAACGTACATAAGGGGTGGTTTGAGGGGCAGAAGTATTCATGTTCAACGCACTAGAATTCGAGAAAGTCTTCAGAGGGTTGATCAAATTGGTAGAAGCATTCGGAAACGTTATGCAATCTGCAGGCGTGTCTATAATGTCAAAGGTCCTAATTATTTATTGCACATTGATTCAAACCATAAACTGATCGCACAAAGATTTGTAATCCATGGTTGCATAGATGGATTCAGCCGAATGATTGTTTACCTGCATTGTTGCACAAATAACAGAGCCGACACTGTCCTTGAATTATTTCAAGGTGGATTGCAGAAGTTTGGCTTACCCTCTCATGTACGAGGTGATCATGGCAGTGAGAATATTGATGTGTCACGATTTATGATAGAAAATTGAGGCAATGACAGGGGAAGCTTCATAGCTGGAAAAGTGTGCACAATCAAAGAATAGAACGATTATGGGCTGAAGTGAACAGAGTGATGCACTATTGTTCAGCACTTTACAAAGACATATTTCGATTTTTAGAGAACAATGGTTTATTGAGCTCCCTTAATGAAATTCATCTATTGGCATTGCATTACGTTTATCTAGTGCGTATAAATGCATCATTGCATGAATTCAAATCACAGTGGAATCACCATGGTCTTAGGACAGAAAATCATCAAACTCCCTCGGCTTTATTTCATTCAAACTTTAACTTAGCTCCGAATGAGCCTACAACAATAAATGATGATGTATATGGAATTGATTATGGGGGGCCATTACCTGTTGCCACAAGAAACAATGTTGTTATACCTATTTCAAGCATGCAACTAAGCGAAAATCAGTATGATTACCTCCAACAACAAGTTAACCCTCTTGAAGATGATGGGAACAATGGCATTGAACATTACTTGAAGACAGTTCATATTGTTGAGAGGTTTTTAGAGGCAAGGATTAATGTTGACGAAGTTTAACAAATGAAACAAATGTATTTTAGTAAAATGGTGCAAGCCAAAAATAAGCTCATTGATCAAGAATTTAACATTTTTTTCAAAACTGTCAGTTCTCTTTCTGTTTAAACAAAACTATTTGATATTGTGAAAAATAATAAAAAACAACTTTACACAATGTCAAATGACCATGATGTGCTTTCTCTCATTGTGCTTGTAAACTCTTCTGCCAGTTCTGCAAAGCATTCATAAGTTGTTGGTAGCTCTAGGGTTGGCCCACATGTGTGGGCAATAGACCGTCGTGAAAAGCCATGAAGGGCTGTAAATGTAATTTCAATTGAATCACATGTCAATACATCACTACCAGTTAAAAAATGCAGAAATCTTTCAAGAGCCTTCTTTTCCAATGATTTCACATATCTTTTTAGGAAATCCAAGCTCTGCCGTTCAGCATCAGTACTCACACTAGCAATAAAAAGCTTGTTAACCTTTTTGGCTGTTGGCTGTTTTTCTTCATATAACTGTTCAACTTGCTGTGGTGTTGAAAAGATGGAGTTTGCATCATTCTGAAGAGTTTTTAAAATTGGCGACCAACAATTTGTGATGTATCTGGGCTTTTGAATGAGTTCCTGATGTGCAAGTTCAAGTACTATGGAGGCAATGTTCTCCTTAGTGGGGGCTTTATAGCACTTATTGGATGACAAAAACTCCAATAGGTCTTCATCGTTAGGATCTAATTCACGACTCTGCACTTTATCTAGAATCTCTCAATCGTCTGCTGGCACGTAACAACGATATGCTTGCAGTAGAGATTCTTTGCCCAGACTTTCTTCACCAAACAAGCAGCAAAGGATGAAGAATTGTGACAGCTGCACAGGAAAATATTTGGCTTTTTCATATCCAAACACTAAAACTCTGGCAATTGCTTGCCATTCTGGTTTTTGAAGATCGTGTCGAATGTGTGGCGTTTTCTCAGTTCCACCTGCACTAAGTGATATAAAGAATTCATGCCAAAAATTTGTCAGAACATCACGCAGCACACCTGCACCTTCTCCTTTTTCTGGGTAGTCATTTGCATTTATAACTGTGATGTTCAACCTGTGCTTAAGAATTCTGGATCTTTGAAAACATCAATAATATCATGGCGAATCATTGAGCGGTGCACAATTACTTCTTTTAATTTGGGATAATTTTGGAACATGAAATCGTCATCTTCGTCAATGAGGTGAATTTCTTGCATCACTAGATGAAAATTGAGTTCATAACACATAAGGATTTACTATTTAATTTAAAAATATATACTTTCTACAGATTTAAATTATATTTATGATGGGTAAAAAAAACCCAAATATAGGTAAAGAAGGTGGACAAAAAGTGGGCCCTTTATAAAACTTACATATTTAGTTAGAAACATAAATATTGAAGCAAGAGACAAAAATAAAAAAATCCTATCATACATTTGTTGCTAAACACGTTAACAATTCAGTATTTTTAATAGTTGTAGGTCTCTCAAAAGTCAGGTGAATTATATATGTAATGTTATATTCGGGGGCTAGATTTTGTTGTGCACAAACTGTAATTTCAGTTGCCAATTAATATTTTCATGTTTAAGATTAAAGTTTGTCTTGTAAACTGATAATCTTCAAGGGATGAAGAAAAAAGTAGTCCCCCAAACAAAATCATCGTTATAAGTTTTTAGCTCATTATTCTTTAAAAAATGTTATAGAAATTATTACTGTTGCAGAATCCAAGAAAAAAAGAAATGTTTACAATAGCCAACTATAGCTTTAATCATACAATAAACATAAAAATAAAAAAGAAAATACTAGGCATATACGAATTGTTAAATTCATGGACCGGTCTAATACTGGCCGGTATACAAATGTTGTTTGTTTGTTTGTTTGTTTTATACGAATTGTTAAGGTGATGCTATTAGTGTCTATGGCAAAAATCACTTTCATTCGTACATTCTTTTACCCCCTGTCAAAATACAGTTTATGAAAATTGTTTCCAGTCCTTTAATGGCCTTAAATTTCATAGAAGCTTTATTCATCTGATCTTAAAAAGACTTCTAAAGGCTGGTTTTTATATGACATAATTCGATTTACAGTAATTTACTGCAGTGGCTGAATTCTAATGAAATATCTCAAGTGAAAACTAGCCTTTATTACCACACAGAATAAATTGCTTCTAAATCTAAAAGTTAAGCACAGACTAAAATAAATCAGTTTTCAATCAGATCAAGTACACGTGTCCTTAAGTAAACATGTATTTTTTATGGCAAGCACTTTTTTGTCTATTAAAAAATTGTAGTGATTCATCAATAAAAATAGTAGCAGCATAATGTTTAATGTAACTAACCTGATGTATCCTGTACACCAACTGCATGAAGATCAGTGGTTGACTGTAAAGAAGTTTGTGCTGTCTCTTGAGGCGGTGAAAATGGAGATTGTGCTGTAAAAAAATTGTTATGATTCAGCAATAAGATAAAGCATAGTGGCAATATGTTTAATGTAACTAACCTGATGTATTCTGTACACCAACTGCATGAAGATCAGTGGTTGACTGTAAAGAAGTTTGTGCTGTCTCTTGAGGCAATGAAAATGGAGATTGTGCTGTAAAAAAATTGTTATGATTTAGCTATAAGATAAAGCATAGTGGCAATATAATGTTTAATGCAACCAACCTGATGTATCCTGTACACCAACGGCATGAAGATCAGTGGTTGACTGTAAAGAAGTTTGTGCTGTCTCTTGAGGCGGTGAAAATGGAGATTGTGCTGTAAAAAAATTGTTATGATTCAGCAATAGGATAAAGCATAGTGGCAATATGTTTAATGTAACTAACCTGATGTATCCTGTACAACATCTGCATGAAGATCAGAGGTTGACTGTAAAGAAGCTTGTGCTGTCTCTTGAGGCAGTGAAAATGGAGATTGTGCTGTATCTTGAGGCAAAGCCAATGGCACTTGATTGGCGTCGGTAGAGCTTATTGACATTTGCACATCACCAAAAATATCAGGTAAATCTTTATTAAAAAATATAAGACGGACTTCACAAACTATTCCTGTATTGTGTATTTAATTAAATTTCTCCATTAAAGAGAATGACCTACCATCATGACTTTTTCTTGTGCACACATTTTCCTACATTGACAGCATATTTAATTTAAATATGATGAGTATAATAACGTCAATTATTTCATTTTTCCAATCAAGAGCATGAAAATGGTGCATCAACATACACCTGTGCAAGTAAAACAGCTGATGCAGCTGTTAAACCATGAATAAACTGAACAAGTTCCATAGATAAGAGGACAACAGAAACTCATACCTGATGCTCAATTATGATCTGTTTGTTTGGTCGCACATACACCGGTTTACTCTGAAAGAGCCGTTGCAAAATAGACCATATGCCTTATTCATATTTAATGAAAATGCACGCTGTGCATTCTGGTCTTAGTAGTCACGCTACCAAGGTAAACATCAACATGGCCACTGCGGATGGTTAGCACTATTTTCCACCCAGCAAACCGCCCTTTACTTTGAAATATAATATTTTACACAATATAATATTTTACACAATCTAATATTTTACGCAATATAATATTTTATATAATATTTTACACAATCGTCGAAAAACGACATATTTTCCAGCCTGGATTGTAAGTTTATAACTTAAGGTGGTTGCATGAAAATTTATACTGCAACATTTATCTGTAAATATTTTCATATGTTGATATTAAAAACTGTATTATAAAAATATAAAATTACTCGAAATCTCAAAACGACCTAGCACCAGTGCATGCATGGTTTCCATTTAGCTTTTGGTTCTTTCCCATTAGCCGCCATCTTTAATTTATTTCCGATTGTGTAAAGTAAAGGGCGGTTTGCTGGGTGGAAAATAGTGCTAACCGACTACTAAGACCAGAATGCACAGCGCGCATTTTCATTAAATATGAATAAGGCATATGGTCTATTGCTCCATCAATGCCAATCTGACCATGAGCCAAAGATGGCACAACAAGAGATGTGTGCATCGACATTAATATTTCGATATCCACACCAGCTGAAATTTTGTCAGCAAAAGCTTCCATTATGGCAATTTCCACTTGTGCAGCGTTCATTGCCTTGGTGAATCTGCAGCCTGAGATCATGTGACCCCGTTCCATAAGAGCAAGGCGTGCTCTTTGACGAGGAACGACAGAAGCATTCGGTCCTCCCAGCAAAATAAGGTCGCGTAAGAATGGTCTATTATCTATAGCACCAGGCCTTCTTTTAGATTCCCTAATCTGTCTTCGATAAGAAGCAGATGGGCGCTGTGTATTAAAATTTCGTCCCGTGACAAAACTCCTCCTCGGCACATTTTGTTCGGTAGTGTTCGTAGTTGGTACAACTGATGTAGACCGCCGTCTAGCTGTATTGGAATTGAAAATGTGACTTACTTCTGCCTCTGTTTCAGCACTTGTTTGGGGTGAAATTCTTGAAGAAAGTTCGTTTAAATTTTCCAGAATTCGATCTATAATGTTTGTATTTCTATTTTCCGCCATTTTAGTTATTTCAGAATGATCAATTCGATATATAAATATGAAATAAATCATGAAGTTTACTTCTAAGTCCGCTGACCATTGTTACTGTTATAAATCTCGACTATCGCCTAAAGGCGCATCTCCACTAGACGATTTTTGTGACGATCGTCTTAAATTTTCGCGACAATATTTCGAACACGAATTATAGGACGATTTTGTTAGTCATCTCCACTAGACGATTATTTCGCGGTGTTTTCCAATAAACAAAATGGCGTCTATAAATAAAAGATATATTCTATATTTGCTGCTTCGTAGAAGATATTTATTTCTTTACAATCTTCACCAAAAAATGCTCAGGGAGAACACCAAAACAAGAAAAAGGAAACGTCGATTTTGGATAAGAAAGCTGTACGAAGAAAGAAATGTGAAAGGAGAATATAAGCTATTGATAAATGATATGCGACTCCACGACCATGAAATGTTCTTTAGATACTTTCGTATGTTTCCAAAAACCTATTGGACCTGACCAAAGACTTGCAGTGACACTACGATATTTAACCACCGGTGATGCCTATTCAACTATTGGCGCTAATTATAGAATGAGTGCCACAACTGTTGGCAGAATAATCGATGAAACGTGCAATTCAATTTGGAATAGACTGAAGGAAGCAGGATATATTGACACACCTTCTGGAGTTGAAGCATGGAGAAAAATTGCCAATGAATTCGAAGCTCGATGGAATTTTCCGAATGCACTTGCCGCAATTGATGGCAAACATGTGTTGATGTTTGCTCCTGATAATCAGTCATCCGCTTTCTTTAATTATAAAAAGACTCACAGTATTGTGCTCATGGCAGTATGTGATGCTCGGTACGAGTTTACTATGGTTGATATAGGTGATAGTGGACGGCAAAGTGATGGAAGTGTTTATGCTAACAGCAATTTAGGTTATGCTATAGAAAATAAACTCCTGAACACTCCACCTGATTGTCAAATTTCCAATTCTAATAAGGTTTTACCGTATGTTTTGTTGGAGATGATGCTTTTGGTCTAAAAGACATATGATGAAGCCATATCCATTCTCCAATCTTTCAGAAAGTAAGCTAGTTTTCAATTATAGGCTCAGTCGTGCAAGGAGGGTAATTGAAAACACATTTGGCATTTGTGCTAGTCGTTTCGTGTTTTCCACAGGCCAATCATTGCAAAAGTACCCAAGGTTATTGCAATAACAAAAGCAGTGGTTGCACTGCACAACTTCCTGATGACTATAAATGAAACTGACAGAGAAAGTCACTATTGCCCAAGTACATTTGTTGACCAGGATGGGCCAAATGGACTGCACCTTGGTGAATGGAGACAAGATGCAAATATTATGAATGGTATAGCTTCTATTCAAAATGTTGGGGCTTCAAGAAATTATGGTGGGGAAGCTAAATGGGTTAGAGAACAGTTTGAACATTATTTCAACAATGAGGGTGCTGTTGACTGGCAATGGGACAAAATAGGCAAAGCAAAATAAATTGATTCTCGTTTTTTAATAGGACTTGGAAACAACTAATGAATAACATAAAATGTAGATAATTGTTAAGCTTTACAGGAATGTCATTATTTGGCTAAGCAACAGAATATCAATTATCACATATACAATGTTATTCATTAATTAACAATATTCTATATAGTCTATTTATGTAAGCATACAGGTTTTTTTATATATGATGAGAAAAGAGAATTCATCAAAATGTTAAAATGAGTTTAGTAAATTGAGTTTTTCAAACCCAAGAAAAAGTTCAAGGTAAATTGTAATCAATTCAAAGCAATGTTTAATCACTTTTATTATGTAATGAATTCTCATGATTCCCACCACATGTGAAATATTATTTTCAAACAAATTTGTCAGACCTATGATGCTTGTTTTGAGGTCACCAACACAGAAATAAAATTCATGTTTAAAAAAAGGAAAAATCTTAAGAATATGTAAATACCAAAATTGTTATATTGTTAAAAACTGAATGCATATTTTATCTCATTGATCATCAAATTCTATGTCAAATAAAAGTTGTTGAATTTTAATTTTTGCTAATCTTAGCTTTTTTTTATCAAAGTCTTTCAGCACAGGTACAAGACTCATGCAAAATGCTGTAGCCTCATCATCCAGACTCTTTGTTAACAATTTTGATTAGTTGATCATCCATTTGCTTGATTTGTTGCAAAAATGGGTCATAAGCACTTTTTTCAGATGAAGGTCTTTTACGCTTTTTTGAAGTATTTTCATCAATAGGTCTTTCAGGTGTCGGTGTTGTTAGAGTACACGGACTTGCAGGTACCGATAATGGTGACATAGAGCAAGCTATCGGTTGAAATGGTGATGTGGAAGAAGTTGATATAGCAGGGGAAAAAGCATCTGATTGATCCTCAAAATTACCAGTTTCAATTACATGGCTGGATGCTGCAGGTGATATGTCAACATTGCTATGAGTTGGCAAATTGGAAGTTTTCTCATGAAGAAAACGCATCAATTCAAAATATTTGCATGTAGGTAGACATCCTGCAGGAGCACCTGATCTGGTCATGGACCTTCTTTTGTCCAGGCATTTCTTTAAAGAATCTTTTAGATTTTTATAAATTTTCTGTAGGAATGCCACTAAAAAGTAAAAATTCAAAAACAAATTACCAAATGTCATCAAACACATATGAAAAAGACTTGAATCAACTAGAATAAAAATATATGTTGTCTCGAATGAAAAAAAAGTTGAAATAGGCCACAACTCAGAAAGGCTGGCAGAAAAGAACTGTGTAAGTTAGACTAGGGATTCATTTTGGACTCACAGCATACAGACCCAAAGGAAATTTTTTGGTTTCATGCAGACACCAAACATCAACACAGTTCATTGACAACCCTCCATTTTCATGTGTAACAATTACAATCCTAGAAGTATTTTTGTAGTAGGATATAGTTTGATTTTGGCATGTAAATAGGCAAAGGAAAACTGTAAAATGGAAGAAACTCGTACCTTCTTGATTAAACAACGATGACAATGCATTCCATGCATTCACTTTCATATTACGATTTTTGTAATTGGGATCACTGGTATCCCACAAGCATTTATATTCTCTTAATGCTTGGAGAAACATTTCTTTGTCAAAGGTATTGCCTTCCACAGAAAAATTGGACTTTTGAGACTGACTGTCCACTTCTGATGAGTGTGGAAGCTCTGTAATAATTAACTCAACTTCTGTTGTTTCTTCGTTACTAGTAGCCATGTTGAAATCATTAATATGAACTGCTAGGTTGGCCATGTGCAGTGTTTGCTCATCTCTGATATTTGATTGGCTAAAATTTTGACGATTGTAAAGCGCTTGACGAAAAGTTAAAACAGTTTAAACTTTTCGTCAGAATCAAAATCGTCAAAAATTTCGTCCGAACGAAAAGCTTTTTGCCTCTGCGCATGTGTCGTCGCGAAAATTTAAGACGATCGTCACAAAAATCGTCTAGTGGAGATGGGCCTTAATATTCTCGACCATCGCTTAATATTCTCGACCATCGCTTGATATTCTCGACTAGCGGTTGGAATTCTCAATACACTTTTGTCACGTTTGGCTTGCCATAGGGGAAGATCTAAAATGACTCGCGCAGCCTTATTGTGAAGGATCTGTAGCTCTGTCAAAAGTGTAGTGTTGCCCAGGTCTCCCCATATTATATCGCCGTAGTCAAAAAGGGGCAGAACAAAAGAATTAAAAAAAGTTATCCTAGCGCTTAGTGGGAGACACGACTTGATGCGCCGCAAAAGGCCAAGCTTCTTGTTTATCTTACTACGCATGTTTTCAAAATGATCCTCCCAAGTAAGATTCTGATTGATAATTAATCCTAAGTAGGGAAAGCATTCTGCTTCCTTAAGTTGCTTACCATCAGCTGAAATAACAATGGAATCGATTCTACGTAGTCTCGAGGTACTACCAATTAGCATAATTGGGATTTCTTGATGTTAAGAGTAAGTTTCAACCAATCACATACTTGTCTGAGGTCCGAGTTCATCTTAGTTTCGATTTCTGAAATAAGTTTGGTGGAAAAATTTAAAACGGTGTCATCAGCGTACAAAGTAATGTTACAAAATTCAAGCACGTTTGGTAAGTCATTCATATAAATTATAAACAATAACGGGCCTAAGATTGAGCCTTGGGCAACTCCGACAGATACTGTGTCTGGGTCAGATTGAGCTCTGCCACAGCAAGTAACTTGGATTCTGTTGGAAAGGAAAGAATCAAACCAGTTCTGTGCTGTATCATCCAGACCAAAGCGAGACAATTTAAGTAGCAGGATGGAGTGATTCACGGTGTCGAACGCCTTTGTCAGATCTAAAAAGACGGTCTCTGTAACAGTGCCGTTGTCTATGCCGAGGACTAACTGATCAATAAACTGTGCAGAAGCTGTGACAGTCGAGGATTTCAGTCGAAAACCAAACTGTTTTGACGAGATTAGGTTATTCTCTGTTAGGTAGCCATAGAATTGAGTGTGAACAGCATTTTCTAAGATCTTACTTAACGTTGACAGTACTGAGATTGGCCTGTAGTTGGACGCGTCCTGTTTGTCACCTTTCTTAAAAAGGTATGACCCTCGCGTTTTTCCAAACAGAAGGAAAAGTTCCTGTTTGTAGCGATAGATTGAATAGTGACGTCAACGAAGGCGCAATAATATGTCCAGAGTCCTTAAGCAGGCGGGCACTGATTTTATCTAACCCAGTAGCTTTATTGGGTTTTAAACGCTTGATAGCTTCCCTGAAAAAACTTTCAGATATCACCCGGAACCAGTTATATTAGGATTGACCACGGGCTGGTTAGAGAACGACAGGTCCGGAAATTTTCCGGCAAGTTTTCTGCCGATACTTACAAAGAAGGTGTTCAAAGCAGTGGCAATTGACTCATCAGAGGTGCCAACTGCGTCATCTACTCGTAGACTAGAGATATTTGTGGACGTCTTTCACGATGGTAGAGGGCTTTTTGAGTGCTTTCCAAAACCTTTAGCATTTCTTTGGTTTTCTTGAATCAGATTGGAATAATAGTCTGATTTAGCTTTCTTAATGTCGCTGTTGACTCTGTTTCTTAGTAGTCGGTAAACGCGCCAATTTCGACTGTTCTTGTTCCCTTTTGCTTTCTTGAGATGATAATCGCGCTTTCTCATTTCATTAGCGATGATTGAGGTCATCCACGGGGTTGACGATCCTCTGACTCTTCGGGTTTTAGTTGGTGCGTGGGCTTCAAAAACGTCCAAGAACAGCTTATTCCATGTATTAACACAGTCGTCCAGGTTGTCAGTGTTATTAAAAACGACATGCCAGGGAATATTCTCAAGATCTTCATTGAAAGAGTCTTTGTTGTAGTTCTTGTATGAATATATACGAGATATTCGATAGTTTTGGGAGCAACTCGGGGACGACCGAGTAAACAAGCTAGTGAGCACTGTGTCCGAGATCAAAAACTCCAGACTCGACAACTTTGTGGTTGGCGTTTGTAAACACTAGGTCAATTAGCGTCTCAGAATGTTCGGTGACGCGTGTCGGTTCCTTTATCAATTGTTTTAGGTCAAAAGCCTGTGTAATTCCCCGGAGTCTTCGTTTCAGCGAAACATTTGCATTTTTCTGTTGGACAGAGAAATCAATGTTAAATCTCCCAGAAGAACTTTATCATTAGTAGAATCAATTCTAGACAGGGAATCATTTAGATTATCCAAAAAGATATCTACAGGCTGATCTGGGGGTCTGTAGACATTGCCGATGATGAGTGGCTTGCATCTTGTTCGGTTTATTTTAATCCAGACAGACTCATTTGCATTCATGAGGTCTTCTTGTTCGATAAAATTTAAACTTTCGCGGCAATAAATTGCTACACCTCCCCCTTGCTTTCCTTTCCGGTCTCGTCTTACACAATTGTATCCCGGTATGTGAATTTCCTCATCCTGAATACTGTGTGAGAGCCAGGTCTCCGAGAATGTCCAGATATCGGGGCCTTTGATGTTAATTTAGATTTAGTTGGTCGATTTTGCCGGTTATACTTCTAACATTGAGATGAGCTATAGACAGGCCATTGGCTTTGATACTGAAGGATGGAACATCAAAGTCCACATGGTTTAGAGGACCAGGCTGAGGACAGACGTCGCCAGACAGAATGATGGCAGCTGAAGCATAGAAAGTCAGCTGCGTTATCTTCAAAAATTTAGCTAACTTCGTTGAAGCAGCGGCATTTTGCCGGGCGATGTAGCGACTCCTCTGTTGTCGTAAATTTCCCGAAATTTCAATCCTGCAGCTCTTTCTTGAAACAAAATACACATCGCTGTCATTTAGTGAAGTGTTCGTCTGTAGATGTAAGGATTTGTAGTTTGAAAAAGACACATAGATGCAGAGAAACATACAAACATTCGCAGAGAGCCTAATTTTGCGACCGACCGCCATAATAAACCGAATTTTTTGTCATCCAGTGATTAAAGTGCTCTAAAGCACACAGAAAATATCAGAAAATTTTTATTTTGAAAGGGCAAAACGACGAGAAGTCACCCGACTATAAGCTTGCAAAGCGGTACCAAATAACGTTTGCTTTTAGTTCGTATTATGTATAAGGGACTACAGCTTACAATACTTCTTCAGCAACACACATTTTTACAGAATAATTGAAAACTTTATTTTTAGATAAAATGCAAAAATGCTATCCGTCCATCAATAGACATACCATGAATTACATTAGTTTTGAACTGGAAAAATAGACGTACTTTCTACAACAGCGCGTTGTTCAAAAGCATCAAAATTATATATTTATGTACCTACGCCATGATTAGTGGATAAGAAACAAATCATACATTCATGATTTCACCCCACCGTCAAACCGAACCCGAACTGTGATTCACGCTTATCGTGATTCATTGTTCCAGACAGTGAGAATGTAAACGGTAAAGGGTGAAATCGTTTTTCGAGAACAGCACCCACTGTCCAGTTCGAGTCCAACATACCGCGAAAAGTTAAGTTGGCTTTGGGAACGTTGAACTGATAGCCAACACTGACAGAGCTAGTCTGCTGTTGGGTATTGTACTCGTACTGTACACCAACGTCCACATTCTCATTTCCTTTATGATGATAACTAGCATGCCATCCTGCCTGCCCTACAGTAGCACAGGCCACCCAATCGTCAGTCTTGTATTGACCAGCCAAAGAAACGACCGCGGCCTCTTGGCCAGCAGCGTTATGGTAAAGGAATTCTCCGCCCAGTGACAGCGATGACGTCAGGCTCTGTAGATAATGAGCAACGACGATTCCAGATAATTTAAAGGGATCGGGATTCACGCAGGTGACGCTTGTTGTGAAATCACGCCCGCGATATTCAATATCGTACTGTTGCATTGCCCAAAACTTTTTTTGAGTCTATAAAGTCAAAAAATTTGTGATGCAGAAACCTTAATAGAGTAAAATGAACAAAGAACGAAGAGATTGTTGATAACATGATAGCACAGGTCATCACAAACTAGACAGTCCTTTAGTCTCCTTACTACGATTAGAGTTCGTTGTGTTTGCGACATCGATAACATCGGCAACACTAAAGTAAATGGTTCGAACCGGGAGTATCGTAACATGTTTATGGATGAATATCGTCCAGGGATAGTTCTTCATCCACAAACATGTTATCGGCAACACTCGGCATGCTAAAGGTATAAAATGTTGCCCTATTTTCGAGAATAGTATCTGCCGCTAGCATGGCGTAGTTTACATACGGTGTGTCGCTTGTGGGGGGTTTACTATGATACACCCTAAGGGATATTGCAAAGCGTCGTAACTCGTAAGTGGTTTTTGCGTCATATTTTCACCATCTGTATCTTACACCTCACAAAGATGATGACATAAAGGAGTTTGTTTTGCAATTTCTTGAAATCAGAAAGGTACGTAGCTCTGCAGTGGTTTTCGGAGAAATCGTTCGAGATATTTCGATCGAGAGCTATAATCTAACTTAAATGAAAGATATTGTATAATTCATAGCGATTTAACATAATTTAACATTTACCGCAAATTTTTCGTGCTTTGAACGTTGACGACAGAGTTAAACAATTAAGTTCAAGTTACGTAAGCTGAATAAGCTTGCAAGTGAAATTTCTTTAAGCTCAGATCGAAAAAACTTTTGGCTACTTTTCTAATTTCTAATTGGATGTCATTGCAGTCGTCATTGCTGTTGGATTCATTAGACAAGATGATTTCGAAGTTTTAAGTTATTAACCAAGATAATGGACAGATTTTTTTTTGATTTTGAATATTCACTTGAGGAAACGAGCCCCTCCCCAAACAATGAAGGCTCTTCAGCCAATAAAGGAAACAAAGTTCAACACTGACCTGTAAAATAAATTTTCCTCGAATGCCATCGGTGAACTGGTGAATAATTTGTGAATTTAGATTTCCCTTTAGATCAATATCGCTTACAAGAACTGGATACGACTGAATAAAACATAAAGTGATAAGAAGAATATTTACCAATGGAAAAATGCTTTCGAACTACGTATTATGCAACATAAGTGGCTTACAGTTCGTTTTGTATATAATTTGCTTGATATTCAAATGTTAACAAGACAATTTTCCTCAAAATGACTATATTTTGGGTTGCTTATCACGGCAAATTATAACTTATTTTCACAGTTAATAAACAGGCTCAACCAGATTCGTGAATACGTAGTGTTGAATTTAATTCTTTAAGGCAACTGCTTTTAATACAGTTCCAAGCCTAGCTAATAAAGCTCCATACATTCTGTAGAATGTGACATTATCAAGATAATGATGCGTAGTGGACGGTAGTAGTTACAAAGGACAGGCAGAAGCATTTTATCCAGCACGCTAAGTAGTCGGCCTATGCTCAGAGCTTATGAAGTAGTGACTTTCCCCAGTTCTCCTTACCAGTAAAGTGATTTTCAAAATTTCGTCCTAACTTTAAACTTTTTACCGTATTCTTAGTATATGGCCATTGGTGTATAATCTTATTAACAAAAACGTTTCGTCTTCATCTTAAGACATCTTAAGACATCTTAAGCTAAAGACGAAACGTTATTGTTAATAAAAATATGTACCCATGGCCATATTAAAAGTTTTATGTTGGGCAATTATATTTATACTAAGAATTCGCTTTCCGCCTGGCAAATCCGAGTTTCAAGCACAAGACAGGAAATGCAAAAGCAAAGGAACGTGATAAACGCAAACGTCGTCAAGACACTGAACATAGCTAGTAGGAGAAATAGATGTCACCTAAAGGCCGTCAACTTTGTCTTTGCTTACATGCCCCGTAAATAGTAATCCATCAATGAGGACAGCGCTGTCAAGTGGATAGTGACTTTTGAAGCGCTTTTGAAAAAGAGTTATCGGTACAAGGCCGGATTAACCAAAGGACAAGACTGGACAGCTGCCCAGGGGCCTCCACAAACAAGGGCCTCCACAAACAAGGGCCTCCACATTGTTTAAAGGAAAATTAAACATTGTTGCTTCACTGAACAGGGAAAAATATTTTTTCACTCGTTAGGTAATTTCATGTAATGAAGAACAGACTACTCGCGACAATGAATCGCGGCAAACTCGGCCATCTTGCTTTGATGAGCATTAAATGTGATATTCTAAGAACAATAAGTGCCTATATTACCCTCAGAGAAATAATCTACAATAATCATGTATTTAGACAGAATTTATGATTTTGAGAACATTTGCAATATATTTTATAAGACGAAAATTTGATCTCCTTCACTTTTTGGGCCTCGAAGCTTTTTTCGTGTTTGACTTTGAGGTGCTGTGCCTGTGTTTAGTTCATTGAACGTAACGTACATAGTACGCTGTTTCTTAACGCTGTACTTCATAGTGATAATTATAGCAAGGTCGAGGAATGTATTTTTATTAAACTTTGGTTCTGTTGTGCACTTATTGAATCAAACTATAATTATTGAATCAAACTATAATTATACAGCGTTGAAAAGCAGCGCGTTCTCCAATGTACGTCATGTTCGGTGAACTAAGACACAGTCACAGCACCTCACGGTGAAACAAGAAAAATGTAAACTTTGAGGCCCAAAAAGTCAAGGAAGATCACGTTTTTGTCTTATGAAATGCATTGCAAGTGTTCCTAAAATCGTCAACTCTATCTTAATACATTATTTCCTTGAGGGTGATATAGGCACTTTAACTTCGACGAACTTATCAAAGACTGCCAGAATCCAATCCAAAAAAGTACTCTATCTCAGGTAGCATTCAATCATTGTACGTGCAAATGCTTTACACACTATGTATATTCGAAGTTTTTGCTTTTATCAGATGCTTTACTAAATTTGTATTAATATTTTGCTATTGGAAGAACGGGCAGTCCGTGGCCTTTCGAGTAAGGGAAAGGGGGCCTCCACACATCTTAATCTGGCCCTGTAATGGTATATTACGTAGTTTTTCAAGAAAAACCCAAAACTTTGTTATCATTGAATTAACGTCAAGTTTTAACACAAACTCTTGCCTGTTTTAAAGAAATTACCCTGTACAGACCTCTAGCTATACTTTAAACCCCTGATGTAAAAAAATACATTTTCTCGAGAAAAGTTGACCAAATCCTAAAAGTTTTCTCATAAATTTTTTTTTATAAAATATTGAGTGATTATTCAAATGAGACTAATCATAAAAATAGAGAAATAGGGAAACAAAAATAGTGCAACCTTGCCAAGATGGTTAGGCTTTATTGACCAATATACAGAAATAAAGTAATTGCCAGAAAATACAGCACCTCATGTGGTCCAGTTTGTTTATCTCCAACATATGTGGCTCCAAAGTGATAACTTCCAGGTCCAAGTGAGCTTAATGATAAGTTATGTGAAACTTGAAAGTGACTGCTAATGCCTTTATTCAACAGAAGCTTAGCTCCTTCAAAACACTGAGGGAAAACATCTACAAAGGCAATTACACACACATACAGTGTAACTATACATCAATAATTTATCATCCAAAATGCACTGATTCATGCAGAATGCTTCCTCCTGTTTAAAATTTTGTAACTATTGAATTAGGTGGTTCACACTATGCACAAGATAACTTCTAGGACAAAAACAACCATCTTCTGATAAATTAGAAACAAAATGGCATACTGTGGCGGTGGGTAGTTTTTTGGATGAATTCAAGAGATTTGATACTTGTATTTTACTGTAATTTGAAAACAGAAAAATGTTAATGCTGATGAAATACACTTATGTTTCAAGATAAATGCCTGATGTAGAGAAAATCACTGAAATTCGGGTCATTTTTTGCAGATTAATCATAAATGTCTAAGCTTCAAAAGTGGTGGTAAAATCCTATGTACCCTTATTACTTAATATAGACCTTGGTCAGTAGCTTAAATTAAATTTTTTGGTTGACAAATAACTAGTGATTCCAGCGCCTTAGGAATGAAAATATGTAAATAGTAATGCAAAGAAGCCACATTTAATACTACAAAGCTTACATTCATATCAAATAAAAATTTTAGTTCTAAGAAGATGGTTTCGTAGTTAAGTGTTTCAACATATGTCTTTGCATGTCAAAATTGCTAAACGATATGCCAATCTGGCACTGCAAATCAATTGGTTGAGAAACTTCTACGTTGTTTTGTAAAGACAAGCAATCAATTTAAAATTTTAGATACATTTTCTAGTGAACATAGAATAAAGGCTTGCTTAATGTCCTTCACTCACAAAAACTAAGTTTGCAAGCTAAGAGTTTTGTAATTGCAGGTACTTCAGGGTAATAAAACTTAGATCAGTGTAAGCTAAGTTCAGATAATTGTTTTTGATCTTCCCAAAAGGTTATAAGGTAGTGTGTTTTTTAAAACACTATGTACACCCATTCATATTAACTTACACACATACATGTCACAAGATTTTTATGATTTCAACAACAAAATATTTGTAATGCTTGACAGTTTTCATATCAGATGCCCAAAGCCAACTATTTGACAAAAGTTGACAATTCATCATGTATATAGTCAACAGTCAATCTCTGTGTGCTAGGGTTGTTATATTCTAGCATTAAATGGCGAACTCAATATTCCTCATTTAAAATTTCCTAAAACACGACTTGCATTATCATTTGGAACAATGTTGCATATACTTGCATGCATGTTCTAAGTATATAATATACGGCCATCATTTCTCCTGTGTCGTAGTACAGAAACAAATCGCTTTCATGTAACCCAATTCTCATGCCCTGGCTCATATGATTTTTATTTCAATGAATTTATATTACAGTCATTTCCCTACCGACCTTTACATTTCTTATGTAACTCTTCAAACGAGCCGGGGTTGCCAACTGCAGGGGTGATAGATTTCTTCTCGCAAATCGATGTATTTTGTGGTAAGGGAGCCGTTAATGGTGGTGGAGGAGGAGTAGTACCAGGTGGAGGACTAGATGCGTGGAGGTTTCCCATTTTCGGAAGAGAAAATGTCAATTTATTTTCGCTCCATGTGCTTACGAAAAGATGAAACCTTCCATTCGCTGCCCGCAAGCTAATAAAGAACTGGACAGCAGTTTGTCACGTCGCTTTCAATTACTTCGCGTAGCTATTTTAAAAAAATTTTGAGATAGAACTTAGAAGATATTTAGAAGATATTAAGTCAGTTTAGATTCTAAAACTGACTTAATATCTTAATATCTTCTAAACTTTAGAAGATATTAAAAAAATATATAGTATATTTTTTTCAGATAAATTGTACAGGATAACAAGTATATAACACGTGTATAACAAGTCTCCATCTAACAAGCTTATGGTTCCATCAATATGCCAAATATAGTTGAGAAAGGGATTAGTATAAATGCAACGCATTATTCGTTTACTTTTTCTCTCTTGGACACCTAATGGATCAACCGTATGTTCAGCATTTCTCACTTTTTGTCGTTGAGTGTGAAGCCCCCTAGATTCATGGTACCCTTAAATCATGAACTTGCCAGCCTTTGGATGACTTTGTTTAATGACGTCTAATTCTTTCTCTATTTCATCTTATGCAGGCATCGCGGAGCCGGTGGGGGCTTACTCTTAGCCCCGCCCATTGAGTTCTATAATAACTGGAGCGGCTAAGTGAACTGGGACCTGACGCCAAAAAATTGGCGGCCAATCAATGAACTCCATAACAACTGGACAGTGAACTCTACAACAACTGGAAGGCTAACTCAAAATATACATGCCTAGACTTGTCTGAAGCCACTTAGAAGCTGATTTGCCGCTTCGCGTATATCTCGCGTGGACTGTTTAATTTGCGTGACGGATTGTTTTGCAAAAACTGCTAACTTGGAAATAGAATGCTAGACTTAATGTTTTATTTTTTTCAAAACCGTTAGCAAAATTTGGTTATTAATGTGTTAAGATGCTTTGTGGACGTACCAAGACGTGTTTTATATACGTAACGCTGTATTATATAAAACATAAAAGTAAAAACTTGCTTCGAAATATGAATTTCTTATTTGTCATCGAAAGACCAAAAATTTAAGATAAAACTGATAACAGGTAGTCTGTATCTTTGAATGCTGTGCAAAATACACACAATCCACTTAACATAACATGTTTTTATAACAATTTTACTGCTTTTAAAGTTAGACTTGCTTTGTAAAAATTTCACATGCTCTTTTTGTAATGTGTGATAGTGATGATTTGAAATTTTGAACTGTGGGTGATTGTTGGTTCTTGTCATTTACTTCTCCCACTTCTCAAGAACTGGTGGAAGATTTGACATGCATCCATATTTGTGTATTGAGCATTTTATCAGCAAGTTCATGCTTATAAATAAATAGCCAAGTGTACAACATGACAAGTATTGCTAATATAACCTGCTCTACATAAATGCCAAAAAGCAACCCTCATCCTCAGTGGTTTGAACCAGGGTTTTAAAATGATTATAAAGCAAGTAAAGCTATATCATGTATCAAAATTTTATAGTACATCATATTGATTGTAAAATTGGTTTTTTCTTGTAATACAGATGATGATTCTTGTAATACAGATGATGATATTTGATAACACTGATGCTAGGATAAAATTGCCGCTTGCCACCAAGCTTAAAGATCTTGAAAACTTGTCACAGAGTCGGAATATAAGTCGAGAAAACACGTTCACGTACGAAAAATACTTCTTACAATGGGTCACGATCAATTTGAAGCACGAACTAGTAAACCGCAAACAAAGCTCAAACCAATGAAATTAAATCAGGTCTGCCGCAAATCGTTAAAAAAACGCAAAGAGCTGGCTATTATTCCTAATATATTTGATACTACTATGGACTAAGCTTAAATTGCCTTCTTCTTTTGCATAAAAAGCCAATTTCCAATAGTATTATTATAGTTTCACTTTGCAAGTAGGAACCAAAATGGCGGCTCCGCGCTCGCCCCAGACCGTTTGTCCCAACTCTTACTAATAGAGTTCTATAATAACTGGAGCGGCTATCTCAAGCGCGGCCTTAGATATCGATTAAACTCTTTAGTCTATACAAAAAAGTATATCATAGTTCATCTCCACGGTTCACGAGAGAGAAGTTAGCTTATTTGTTATCATTGCTATTTTGCTTCTTTTCATGCAATGGGCAATGGCTTTTTTAGCCACAATTGTAGGATTTTTACTTGTTTCTTTAAAAAAGTACATATTAAATCTCTGGATATTTACGGATTTTCTGTAATTGAGTTTCATATTAAATTTCAAAACGACTCAAGTCTGCATAGGTTTGGTAAACGTAAACAAACAATATTGTATAGAAATTACTTTAAGTAACCTTTTTGTGATGTTCTGAAGTGCAACTACATCAAATACTTGTAAAGTTGTAGCACATTTTGACTTTGTTGTATTAATATATATGAATTGGGCAAAATGCAAATAATCATCAAAACACTTATGCTTCCAATGGTGTTTATAATTCATTTGTAGTTTTAATACTTCTACCTTTCTTTTTCACTTTGTTTTGTTTTTCCTATATTTGCGATAAAAGTGCACTATAATTTGAATGATTAACACAGTTTTCACCTCAATAATAAATTTCATAAGCAGTTGGTAGTGCATTTTGTTCTCTGAGTATCCACATCTGGTGTTTTGTTCATACAAGAATGATGAAGTGCAAGTAGATATGTCATAGTAAGGCAATAAAACCAAATGAATTACATACCTATAGTGTACTCTTATGCTAGAAGCTTAAAAGCTTTTTAGAAATTATAAAGTTATTGGATTATATTACCTCTATATCATCAATCTCATGATAAGAAATAAGAAGCAAAAAATTTGTAGAAAAGCTTTGAAAAGTGAAAAACGTTTCTTTACAAAAGCAGCAATAATGCATATGATAAATCTCCATTCTGTACTCTAATAGGTAAATAAGCTCAAATTTTTCTTAAAGAAATATAAGAAATATATAAGAAATATACAGTACAGTAACTTTAAAGGTTTCATCACTGAATCTTTAATGCTTCAGTATAGTGCATTAGATATTAGTAACAATCAAACAGCACTCAACTAAAATATTTTGATAAAGATATGGCATGATTTAAACATTGAGTTACATAAAACCCAATGGCTTATACAGTTTGAAGCTTCACATCTGCATCGAGTCATCATCAATCTCAGTACAAATGTTTACATAGACACAAACTTTATGGCCTCCCATTTTACATGCTTGTGAATTGACATTTCATTAAGCATCAAAACACACACAACCTTCTTGCTATCTTTCTTTGGATCATGAGCTTTAACTTCAAAGCATTCAAGGCATCCTTAGTAAATCCATTGTCTCCATCCATAGAATTTGACCACAATCGAATTAAATAACTCTGGATAGGGCAGACAATAAATCAATTACCTTTACAGCATTATGAGTAGTATGATACAAATTTTTGTCAGAAGTCATTAGTTGCATGTTAATAATGTGATTCAATTTAGACATTTGCAGTTATAAATTGTATTGCCATTGGAAACAACTGGTATCATAGATGGTGTTGTAGCTATAGCATAATAAAAACATATACTATAACTAAGTATGATAAGCATAAAAGTCACATATGTTTTATTCACAGCTATATCTTATAATAATCTCAGTCATAGCCAGCATTTTTATTTGCTCATTCTATCTCAATCTTGCTGTGTTCACTCACTGTAAAAACAATAGATTTCTAATGAAATGAGGAATGATGCAATAAAATTTACATAGCAAGTGTAAAACATTCATTCTGGATATGCCACCGATGACATCCATATCAAATATTTCATAAGATAATTTATAAATTTAATGAACACCTTAGCTCTGGTAAAAAAATACTTTATACAGAGCTTTATAACTCTCTCAAAAAATAGTATTGCAACAGTATCTTGGGTTATGTGTTTGAATGTAATTATGTCAGATTTTGAAATAACCACTGTTAATATAACAAGCTTCTGAACATAAGTTCCTTCTCTTTCGTTGAACCACTTAGCTGTAAGATCTCATCAGTATAGCCAATGCTCCTGGATACAATTACTTGAGATGAGGTAAGTTTCCTTCAGTTAAGTTTACTAACTTTAATAGCTTCACTAAGATCTTGTCAGTAGATAATAGTGCTGCAGTGTTATGTATCTCCTTGCTCCTCTTTTCATTCATTCAAAGTCGGATGGCCTTTCTAAACCGTGTTTGAATCTCACATATCTCACATATCAGTACGAGTACAGTGGGAGTGCTTTCTCGAATAAGTCGCTTTTTTGTCAGAAATATTCAGATTGATTCCCCAATCTTTCTGTAAATTGTCAATATGACATATTCCGATGCGCAACAAATCAGTACGGGAGTTAAAGCTGAAAAAATCAGTTTCTCTTAGTGGACAAACGACTTGAGACAACATAACGACCAATTTAAACAATATAGGCCGTATTCTGTGGTCGATTATCGTTCAAGTTCGTATGTAAAAATATATGACTACGTAAAAACTACATGAATTGATTGCTTTTTCCATAACTAACAAGAATTTACCTGTTTACACCTCCAAATCTTGCAATCTAGGGAGTTTTAGCCCTCGAAATTACGAATTGAATCCTATTGTTTTTCCAGATATATGTATCGCATCCATTTTCTGGCATATACAACCACAAATACAACCATCAAAATGAGGGTCTCCGCTGACCTAACGACAACTGGACTAATCAGTAGAAGACTCCTTGCTAGATATTGCGCATTGGCGACACATGACAAAAGTGGCGTTTTATGTACTTACTATAATAATATATAACCATGCTCGTAAAAAAGTTTTATTAGAGAGACATTAATAGTTTAAGTTTAAACGAGTGATAAGAAGGCTAAAAGTGTTAAAGTGTTTAGAAAAATGTGGTAGAAATATAAAGTATGCCAGTTTTCGGCATATATAACCATGGTCGTAAAAACGTTTTATTACAGAGATCTTGTTAGTTTGAGTTAAAACGAGTGATGAGAAGGCTAACAGTGTTAAAGTGTTTAGAAAAATGTGGTAGAAATATAAAGTATGCCAGTTTTCGGCATATATAACCATGGTCGTAAAAACGTTTAATTACAGAGATCTTGTTAGTTTGAGTTTAAACGAGTGATGAGAAGGCCAACAGTGTTAAAGTGTTTAGAAGAATGTGGTAGAAATATAAAGTATGCCAGTTTTCGGCATATACAACCATGGTCGTAAAAATGTTTTATTACAGAGATCTTGTTAGTTTGAGTTTAAACGAGTGATGAGAAGGCTAACAGTGTTAAAGTGTTTAGAAAAATGTTGTAGAAATATAAAGTATGCCAGTTTTCGGCATATATAACCATGGTCGTAAAAACGTTTTATTAGAGAGACAATGTTAGTTTAAGTTTAAACGAGTGATAAGAATGCTAACAGTGTTAAAGTGTTTAAAAGAATGTGGTAGAAATATAAAGTATGCCAGTTTTCGGTATATATAACCATGGTCGTAAAAACGTTTTATTACATAGATCTTGTTAGTTTGAGTTTAAACGAGTGATGAGAAGCCTAACAGTGTTAAAGTGTTTAGAAGAATGTGGTAGAAATATAAAGTATGCCAGTTTTCGGCATATATAACCATGGTCGTAAAAATGTTTTATTACAGAGATCTTGTTAGTTTGAGTTTAAACGAGTGATGAGAAGCCTAACAGTGTTAAAGTGTTTAAAAGAATGTGGTAGAAATATAAAGTATGCCAGTTTTCGGCATATATAACCATGGTCGTAAAATGTTTTATTACAGAGATCTTGTTAGTTTGAGTTTAAACGAGTGATGAGAAGCCTAAGAGTGTTAAAGTGTTTAGAAGAATGTGGTAGAAATATAAAGTATGCCAGTTTTCGGCATATATAACCATGGTCGTAAAAATGTTTTATTACAGAGATCTTGTTAGTTTGAGTTTAAACGAGTGATGAGAAGGCTAACAGTGTTAAAGTGTTTAAAAGAATGTGGTAGAAATATAAAATATGCCAGTTTTCGGCATATATAACCATGGTCGTAAAAACGTTTTATTACAGAGATCTTGTTAGTTTGAGTTTAAACGAGTGATGAGAATGCTAACAGTGTTAAAGTGTTTAGAAGAATGTGGTAGAAATATAAAGTATGCCAGTTTTCGGCATATATAACCATGGTCGTAAAAATGTTTTATTACAGAGATCTTGTTAGTTTGAGTTTAAACGAGTGATGAGAAGGCTAACAGTGTTAAAGTGTTTAAAAGAATGTGGTAGAAATATAAAATATGCCAGTTTTCGGCATATATAACCATGGTCGTAAAAACGGTTTATTACAGAGATCTTATTAGTTTGAGTTTAAACGAGTGATGAGAATGCTAACTGTTTTAAAGTGTTTAGAAGAATGTGGTAGAAATATAAAGTATGCCAGTTTTCGGCATATATAACCATGGTCGTAAAAAAGTTTTATTAGAGAGACAATGTTAGTTTGAGTTTAAACGAATGATGAGAAGGCTAACAGTGTTAAAGTGTTTAGAAAAATGTTGTAGAAATATAAAGTATGCCAGTTTTCGGCATATATAACCATGGTCGTAAAAACGTTTTATTACATAGATCTTGTTAGTTTGAGTTTAAACGAGTGATGAGAAGCCTAAGAGTGTTAAAGTGTTTAGAAGAATGTGGTAGAAATATAAAGTATGCCAGTTTTCGGCATATATAACCATGGTCGTAAAACGTTTTATTAGAGAGACAATGTTAGTTTGAGTTTAAACGAGTGATGAGAATGCTAACAGTGTTAAAGTGTTTAGAAGAATGTGGTAGAAATATAAAGTATGCCAGTTTTCGGCATATATAACCATGGTCGTAAAAACGTTTTATTACATAGATCTTGTTAGTTTGAGTTTAAACGAGTGATGAGAAGCCTAACAGTGTTAAAGTGTTTAGAAGAATGTGGTAGAAATATAAAGTATGCCAGTTTTCGGCATATATAACCATGGTCGTAAAAACGTTTTATTAGAGAGACAATGTTAGTTTAAGTTTAAACGAGTGATAAGAATGCTAACAGTGTTAAAGTGTTTAGAAAAATGTGGTAGAAATATAAAGTATGCCAGTTTTCGGCATATATAACCATGGTCGTAAAAAAATTTTATTAGAGAGACAATGTTAGTTTAAGTTTAAACGAGTGATATGAAGGCTAACAGTGTTTAAGTATTTAAGTAAATAACAGTGTTATAACAGTGTTATAACAGTGTTACAACAGTGTTTAAGGAAATAGTATGTGCGTAGTTTAGTTTATCAATGTATCCTTTCCCACACGGCTAAGAGCCAAGAAACAGTTATTGACGTTAATTAAATTTCCTTATGTACCATATATAGCTTAAACAGAGGAACTACTCCGACCAATAATAATATTTGTTATTTGTAATAAAGACTATAAATACTGCTCTGTAAAATAATAAAAATCAGTTCGATCATTAAGTTCACTCGTGGTTGTTACCGAAGGTATATATATACTAAGAAAGAGATATGGCGAGTAACTCGAACTCAACAATTAGGAATACTTCTATAACTTTGAAAAATACAATGAAGACAAATTCGCGGGGAGAGACACGTGTGAAAAAGAGTCAGAGACCGGTATATAATATAATCTCTTTCCTGTTATGTTGATAAATATTTCAATAATAATGATTCGTTCTTTATAGCATAAAGTTTATGTCACATAATAATTCGTTTAGAGGAAAGAGTTAATCAGCAAAAATGAAAGTTTGAATGCATACAAAATGAGAAAGCGTCTAGTAAAGCGCGTAAGTTTGCTTTTGTATTTTTTATTTTGTATTTTGATAATATTTTATGTAATTTCATGATTTTAGATTGATCAAGTGTCCCAGACTAATCGAATCGGTCCTCTTGTTTTATTATATTTGGATGGGAACGGAAATGTTCGAACAGCAGGTTATTGATTTTTGAGTTCACTACTTGAACACGCATATGTTTAACTGTATTGAAATAAACCCATTCTGTGTTGTAGGAAGTCCTGGATTGCGCGAAGATGTGTTGGACGTTGCCAGCCATATAGTATGCAAATATATTGAAAACGATTTGAGGTCTTCAACAACGTCATCTGGTGAATACTGTTACTGCTTTTTAATTCTCTGATATTAAAATAAGCATCACTGTTATATATATATGATCATTTGACATATACAATTGTGAAGTTTAAAATATCTATATAGCAAACAATGAAAACGTATTGAAGTCGAAAAGAGTTCGACCTGATTTAATCGACCCTGAAGCTTTTGATGAAATAAGAAGAGGAAAATGGTCGTGTGAAGAACTCAGAAACCTCGTGCTTAATATGGTTCTTCCTTCATTAGCATTTTCAGGCACAAACATGTTTCATTTTAAATAAGTTTCATGTTTGTAAAACATAAGCAGAGACAAATATTTCTATACTGCTACAGGGTCTAAGGGAGGAAACAAATGGCCTGTAGCCCGAATTAAAAATTTTTGGTCCAAAGCAGAACAACCATCTTTTTGGCCGTTACACATACCGTTTTGTTCACCATCAGCAAGAAAAGAGATTCCACTAGGTTTAATTAATGATTTATTTATGTCTTTTATTTTATGTGTATTTATTTATGTTTTCTAAACCATGTTTAAAATTGATTGCAATTCTTCCAGATGGCAACAACGATAAGAAAATTTTCAGGAAAGTTCTCAACAAGGCAGAACTAACCGAAATCGTCCTTTCCTATTGGAATTACATTACAGACGTAAGATAATACTTTGAATAATCAAATGTAAAAAATGTAAAAAAAGAAAATAAATTGTCCTAAAAAGAATACGTCAATTGTATTTTTACGATACGTTCTCCACACTTTATGTGATTATTACACATCCTATTAATAAATTGATGTGTACAGTTTAATGAAGAAAACATCGAAGAAGAGTATCAAGACATGGAAAAAGAAACTGATATAGAGGAAATAAACGAGGAGAAAGCAGACGAGTTCAAACAAGAAAAGAAGCATGAAGATATCGACGAAGAAGAAATTCAAGATGAAGATATGGACTACGAGCACAACAAAGAGAAATATCTTAAAGAAGAAGGAAACGAAGAAGACGAAATGGGACCAGAGGAACATTTCATGATGCAACAAAAGGAATGAGATTAATATTTAGATATCTTTTTCTTCACCATCAAATCTTATGTGCAATTTCTGAATTTAGACGGAAAGCGCAGACCTAAATATCAAAGATATGTATGAAAAGGTAAATTTGAGTTTTCACATGACGAAAGTTAAGATCTATATGTATCAAGATAAACAATACGCAATTAATATAGTAATTCCTTACTTCTCTGGAAGACTTTTGCAAAGTGTTTTTATACGACAGTGGATCATTTTAGGGGGGGAAATATGTGGTATAGTTTCTGGATTCAGGATGGCAAATATGAGCTACAATTGTGAAATTTCTCAGGAATTGTTGCAATCCGCCAAAAGTCATCATCAACCTGTAACTCATGCATTAAGGTTCACATTTAAAGTTTATACTTAATTATTTTTAAAACATTTTACTTGTGATTACGTATTTATTTTATAGATCGAGTAAGATGGAAGCGATGGGTTTGCCTCAAGGCTATGATGCCAGTGAGCCAGGAAATATCTTTGAGGCGCTTAGTACGGATCCTGACAGGTTGAAACTTGATGCTTTCTTGTACGGAATTTCCCATCAACATCATTTAGCACTAGAGGTGACTTTTGCTCTACCTAAAAAATTTACTTAATAATACATTATTTCACATATAGATTTATCCTTAATATTTCAAATGAACTGAGATTTGATTTTTATTATAGCGCACCAGGCAAACGAATACGGAAACTGCAGGCAAGAAAATTGTGTCTGAAATTCATAATTTCCTGGAAGAAGGTATTATCGAATAACCTAATTAATCGCCGTACACACCATTTAATTCTACGGTTTTAAATTGAATAAAGTGATCATAAGCTTAATTTTCATATAACATGCCTTTCTGATAAAAGCTCAATTAACTTTTTCATAGATGTTGACTTGAAAGATACGCACTTCATGTGTATTGCTGGGGCACTTAGTGCATCGTTGGAGGTGTGGTGTCCTAAGTACGAGGTTTTTCAAATATATCTACCGTGTGTTTGCCAAGCTATGCAAGGAGTAGGCAGTGTGGCTTTTACTCTTTGTAAAATAAAGAAGGACCTGTTTGCATTCTTGGAGCCAAAATGGGAAAAACGACAAACTCGACACTAACGCAGCATAAAAGTTTAAATTACAGGTTTTTCCCAACATTTCTTGCCAAATAAAAATCTGAGTGATTCTAAACTTTGTGCCATACGTATATTAAGATGTTTGTATTTTTTAATTTTTTCTCTAGGAGAACTTGGAATGGAGAAAATGAGAGGTTTTTTGTAGTAAAACATATTTTAGACACGTATAAAGAAAATAAGAATGACTCCTTTTATTCTTGACACGTTTTCATTTTGATTCCAGAGTTGCTTGTTTCGATGGTATAAGCATTTACAAAAGAGATTTGAATAGACTAAATGATAACAGTTGGGTATGCGACACCATCGTAGACGTCCTGTTAAGGTACTACCCAAAAATCTAGGTGTAGCTGAAATAAAGGACGAAAGTCACTCTAAATGCATGGCTAATGTGTCAAAACATTTACATTTTTATTTATAGGTACTACTGTAAATTAGCAGAAAAAAGAAATGCAAAATATTTCGCATTTAGCAATTTTTTTCAACAGAAACTGTTAATAGATGGACCTCTGTACGTATTTTAAGTAGCAAATTTTGGTAAAATATTCACAACTTTCACATTATCAAACTACTCATAAATCGTGTAAATAAACATCGCTGTATTTCCTACTTTTTAGAGGAGAAAGACCGCTGAGATTATCAGGATGCTTCATTTCAAGAGTGGGGATGTACACACCTGAAGAAATGAATAAATATGAATGTGTGCTAGTGCCAATATGTGACATGTAAGGGTGGAAGCACTAAATTTTTACTGTTTCATGATGCAAAGGCCAACATGAGCCAACTCCATGTTCATTTAAAAAATATAGGCTGCATTGGTGGCTCATTGCATACAATATTAGAGCAGGCAAACTCTATGTGTTATGCAGTATGGGGTGGCAAAAAAGTGAAGTTGCATCCAGTATACGAAGGTATATGACGTACATAACAATTTACTTGAAGAATGAAGTGTATCATGTATCTAACATGTTGACAAAGTGAATGTTTCTAGCACGTCTACACAAATCATTTTTCTTGTGAAAAGATATTTTCAATCTCCCTGCTGTGTCTTCCTATTGTCAAGAACATAATTCCCTCGTTGAACCAGTTCTGGCAGAGAAGGTAGATATCCATGGGACGAATTTTGAGACACCGCAGGTAAGTTGTGTGGCAAACGCCACTGACCGTCCTTGACCTCGAACGGACTTATCGCCTTTTGTACCAATTCCTTTAGCAGCGGTTGAATAGTAATTGGAATTTCTTCGCTAGTCTCAATGACGTTAAACAGTAAGGGCACTTCTTCATGAAGAAGTTTTAAATCAGTCGAAGGATTGTCTTTTGGATTGGCTCCATCAGACATCCTTATCAAGAGGTCCAAAACTTCTTCTTTGGGGGGCACAATTGCGCATACTGGTTTGTCAGAAGCCAATGCTGCCAATAACCTTCTGCACGAGTTTGGACAACTAGTGATAAATCCTTGTTTCTCTAACCATTCAAGTAGAGTCCTAAGCCCCTTTGAAGATATCTATAAATACGAGAAATTATAGTATAAAATGAGCTCTGGAGTGGTCATACAAAATTTTGTACTCGTGGGGTAATAAATTCTACTTACTTCAGATTTTAATTCTTGAAATTCGTCCCAACTTAGCTTTGAATCACTGTACTTCTTCAATAAAGCTCGCACATTTCTCCTGTTGATGAAATTGCGCATTTCAAACCTAGTATTGGACAAAAGAAAACAGGTTGTTATTTTTATAACTATAAGCTGTGTACAAAAACAAATTGAGAGAAGTCACCATCATGCATAAAATGCTTTCTGATACGTAGATGAACACTCGTATTTACTAATTAGAAGACCTGTATATACTATACATTACAGATAAACTTCAAAAATACTTATCTTCCATCTAGCAATCCAGTATCAGACTCTCTTAAATTATTTGGTAAGAAAGTTTTCTGTATTCCAAGAGTTGTTCCATCCATCACTACCTTTTGGGAATTCTTCCACATAATTCACAAAAAAACCCATTGTCAAAATCAATATTAAGCAACCTTAATAAGAGAAAATTCAATAACTTAATAAAACAAGCGATCACTATCTCAATGGAATATTCATATTTTACAGCTGAAAATGAAATGATGCTTACCGTATCATGGCAATGATAGCGAGACGAAACTTGGCGTAAGTTATTTCCTTTGGGAAATTAAAATTACCCGAAGACACTTGCCTTTGTACATACGCAACATAATATTTGTACATAGGTAAACTGAACAAGAATAAAAAGAAAAACATTCAAAAGAGATAGGGCGAGAAAATTAAATAATGGACAAACGTAGCTACTAATGCTTCGGCAAATTTTCATTAAAAAGTACCTCGACGTTATGAAAAGCCGAATGTAATCTTTTAGAACGGCATGAGATATTGCATATGATCCAAACCATACAATCCTGTTTTCAATGCCATCATAATGCTTTTTCGTAGCACAAGAGGAGCAAGGTCTACAATACACTAAATAATTTATTTAAGTCAAATAATTATGAAGCAAAGCGTAACCTATAACAAATCAGAACTTACCTTTTACATCATGGATTGAATAAAAGTACGCAACTGAACACACGTCTACGTACAACCATTCATCTTGAATAGAACGTTTATCCCACTCTGCACCACAAAACAAATACCACTTTCAGATGGCGCCAAAATTTTATGACCATTTTTTTCAGGAAGATCAGTAAAATCGCTTGCATCATTCTCATTGCCTAAAATAATTAAATTGTAATATTTACAAAATGCTAGAAAGTGCTAAATACCATACCGATAAAGGAAATAGTATATGTAAAGCAAAAGGATGTTCACCATTGCAGATTATCTTGCATACCTGTTTCAAATAAAGAAACCTTTTCTTTGCTAAGTGTAGCCAATTCAAAATAGTCTCGCATCTCTGGTGTAATTCCAAAGGAACACTTAAAAAGTGCCAATGGAGAATCCATTTCATCCTCTTCAACGATTTGCATGGCTTTTGCAAGGGTTGTCACATGAATGCAATGATATGACGAACAGCTGCAACATTTTAACTCGGGCTGGGGCGGCGTTACTTTTGAATACACAAAAGTACAAACCCCCCATGGACTATTCACTGGTTTTACAGCAATCCACTGAACCTCCTGCACACTGCACTAAACAAGTCCTAAAATATGTAAAATCATTTATCTTAAGGTTGTAGATTAATAATTATGATTAATTATGACTTCACAAAATCCTTATAAAGTGCTTAATATATATATCAGGCACGTAAAGCTAATGGTGAATATGACTTTACTATTTTACCATACATTTAGTTTATACTACTTAATGTATGTACTGTAAGTATGTGGCTATGTATGTATTTGAGTATGAATGTGTATACCTCAATAGTCATAAATTCAATTTGCCCTGTTGGCTATCACCCTAATAGCTTTATAGAAGCTCCTGAACTTAGGCACAGGATGTATGGTAACAAATTGTGGGGTATTAGAAGGTTGAGAAACTATACGTGTATTTGTACAAAAAAGTTATTTTCAGATAACAAAATATACTTCTTCAGGTTGCATCTCATGGTAGGAATGATCACTGAAAACAGACTGCATCATGGATGTGGATTCTGCATTCATAAAAGAAATTGGATGAGATAAATATGTTGTGTAAATAATCATTCACAAATTTTAACAATATTTTTGCTTGTAAAGCTATGCTAGTTAACGTCCACATGTAATAAGAACAATGTCTCACAAGGGTCTTGTAAAAACACAGAAGGATGACTTCACAAGGGTTTGAAATGTACAATAAACTGATATTTAAGGATGAAGACATTTCCTCCCATACAACATGAAGAACTTTACATTGAAAAAATAAGCCAAATACAAATTTGAGACATTCACTTCATGCAATGTCAGATTAATATGTAACAAGTTCTCACATCTTTGACAAGGGTCTTCAAACAAATAGTATGTAAGTGTAAGTCTAAATTTGGTGAAGCTGTTCAGACACCTTATATCCTGAAAGAGTAACACACAACACTTACTTTTTTCAATAAAATCTTTGGCTTCAATACCAAACTTTCTATCATACACAACCAGATATTTTTCCATTGCTAATATGTGTATGCAACTGGGATATGGTATATCTGACAAGTATAAAAATGTTGTTTGGCCTGTTTTAATAATTTCATTTCAGTAACATCTATTTTACATACCTTTTTGAGGATCTAATTGTATATTATTAGGTAGGGCTTCAACAAATTGCTTTCTATTTGCATCACATGAGCAGCACAATATCCAACCGTAGCCATCAAGCAATAGGTGGGGATATCGATGAACAAATACAAATGAATTATGCAAAAGAAAAAAATACATGCAGGTTATAGTACCAAAAAAAGAGTATTGAGTAATATCATTTAGTTGGGTATATACCCAACATTGAAATTATGGAAATAAAATTTGACATCACCATAATTGCTCTTTTGTTTGCATTATAATCATGAACAACAAAGGATTGCTGACGTGATACATTTGATGCAAAGTCAAACTGTAACAATAGCCCAGTATAGTGGCCAGTGGGTGACAAATGACTCTGAAAGAGCAAGTATACAATAATTATTAATGTTCACTGTTTCAAAAATATCTATTGTAATATATTTTTATGTTTGTTGAGCACATTTCTACGAGATGTTAATAAAGTTTTGCTACACAGTGTCTCATGCATAAGCAATCAACAAGCATATTGTCAATTTATAACACATTAAAAACATGACTAGTGGTAAACAGTATAAAGTATAACTGTATAAGTGAGAACTACTTGACTATGTTGACATGGTTGTTTAGATTCCTCTGTAATCATAGAGATAGATTGCTTGGTAAAAATATCTTCAGAATCCTACAAATAAAGACCATTATTTAATTTAAAATGTGTACAGACTTTTAATAAGTGTTGAAATAATGCATGCCTTCTTTAAATTACTTCAAAATTTTTTAGTTTTTTCTAGTGAAAGCAGTCCTACATATAACCATTTCCAATGACTTTTCATGAGAAACAATATCAATATGTACATTAAAAACCTGTGTTTTGGTGGTTAACTCTTGGTGCTTGTCATAATTTTCAGCAATATCTTCACTTTGTTCATTCTACATATAAATGAAAAAAACCCATAAATATAGCGTATTTTTATATCTACATAGTTTTACAATATATGTAAACTTACTAAATCCCCAAATTCATTTTCTTGTTCAAAAAATTGAGATTCATATGACACACTGCTATTCTATTAACATATATGACATTGTGATTAAAGGATGTAGAGAATCCAGACTTGAAATTGGAAAATGTGCTCAGAATAATCGTTTTTCCTTACACAACATTGTGGGCATAAATAAATTTGTACACATACTTTTGTTAATATAACTGTCGTAATAAATATAAATTAATATGAACTTGTGCAACCAGAAACAATAAAAGAACACTTTAAAATTCCTACCACATCATCTTTTGTGTGTTTCCTCTCCACGTTATTGTAAAAGAAGTCATTTGAGCGTCTGAATTTCTTCCTGAATTGATACATTTTGCAAGTGTACCCAAAAAATAATACCCCGATTTATAAAAACCAGTACTGCACGTGTTCTTGGATTGACAAAGTTAGCCTAGAATTATTCTAAGTACCATTCTCCCAGCCAGACTTCTCCGATAGATATTTAAAAAAGTACTAAGCATAGTACTGAGTGACTGAGCCCTGTTGATCGATTGCCTTGCTTCGAGCTTTGATGTTGCAAACTCCTAAAAAATATGAATACACGAAGAAATATTGTTCTCATACATGAACTTCGAAACATGTAGTAAATGGAAGCCCTGAAATATCTTTTTTAAGCTGCACCAGTCGGATGGTTGTATTTGTGGTTGTATATGCCATTTTCCGGCAGCGAAACATACCACTTTTCCATAGTCCGCCATTTTTTTTTGTGGAAGACCGCTGTATTATTCGCAGGCTCAGATAGAGAAAGAGGCGGCAAAATCGAGGATTTTAAGGCAGTCTTTTTAGTTTTTTTCCGTTTTTTTTGCCTGAAGTATTTTATATATATATTGTTTATTAATTTACAACAGAAAAGTGAGAAAATATATATTTAGTAAACTTCAGTATTTTATCAAAGCGAGTATAGTGACATTTAGGATTTCAATTATTTCTTATGTATTTTAGCAGTGCAAAACTGCGGGAAAGCGGTATCTATCTAAAAATTTGAACATTATAAACAAAAGAGAAAGGCTCAGTTGTTCTGAGTGGATGACCTCAACCCGTGCGCTTACATCATTAAATACTTATATAATATTATAGAGAAGATTACTCATTACTTGTAAGCGTCCTAGTAAGACCTTTTCTTACTAGCTATTTTCGTTCAAATACAATGCAGATTTATATGACCTTTTAAATGGTCTAATTATATGAGCAAATAATACATAACATTATATTATTATATGACTAATTATACTAAACGTGCGACCTGAATCGACAAATTTGATGTGATGCGCGCATATTCCTCAAGCGATAATCTATAAATCTGTAAATCTATTAATCTTCCTCACTATCGTACTCATCGTCTTTATCATCACAATCATCATCATCATTCTCATCTTTTGACAAATCGTCATCTCCTGCAACAAAATTACAGCAGTCCGCGCAGCCACACAAGTCGGTACATTTAAAGCCAGACTTCAAACATGAGCATCTAAGGGTTTTGCACCCAGTTTTACAATGGCAGGTGACGACCTCAATTAGGGTGTCAGGTGCTGACGGCCGAGTCATCCATAAAACTTTCAATTGGTCGTCTTCGATGAACCATCCGTTTCCACACGGGGGCTGGAGTCTCATTTTCGGCAGAAGGCATTTGTTCCAAATATATGCTTGATAGTTTGATCTCTCGATGTGCAGCATCAGACTGTCTGTGTTAGGGGGGAGGCAATTGTCAGAACATTTCCCAGACACAAACAAGGCGTACCTACAAATCCAAAAAGATACAAAAAGTGCAGATGTGTGAATAGAATTCGCAACAAGGCCTTACCTTGAATCATTGACGCAAGTTCCCTTTTTGTCGCCATAAAGCAGGCAGACAAATCTATTCAAAGGAGTGGAAACTTCTTCGGAAATCTCAAACGATTGGCCAAGCAACGAGAAAGGCTCTAAAAACTCAGGATTTTATAAAAGCAATTTCCAAGGCTTTACTTTGCCTTTTCCAGCAAAGGCGCTTGTGGAATCACAGCCTACAAATGAACATGTTATACTTGTTAAATATGTTATGTATTTAATAATAATGAGCAGTGTCATGAATTATTGCCTGTGAATGCATGGAATCCAGGTAAACATTTGCAGAGAGCGTCTCCTAACTCATCAGATACAGCTCCAACGTCTATGGTGCGAGTGTTAGAACCTGTTCCTGTTAGTAAGTATACATCTTTTCCAATAAGCTTTTGCATGGCAATAGATATAACAAGGACATCTTTATCAGGCGTTTTAATGATGATTCTGTCATAGGTTTGAGCTGAGTGCTTGGAATGCAGAAGAAGACGGGTATCTGCCTCTTCATGATCGCTTTCTAACTCTGGGACATTATTGGAGATAATTGGGTTCTCTTTGGATACTGCCGAAGTAAGGAAAATGCACTTATCACGCGACGTTATGTACAAGCATGCAAGGGAGCGCAGGAAAGATGAGGGATAGGTACGCCACTGATTTGCCAAAAAAGCCATGAGAGACTCTTTGTTTTTTCCAGAGCTCATGAACTTTTTCCATTGTTTGGGGATTTTCTGGGCATCATTGAAAATGTGAACTGTCTGTACTCCTGTAATAGGAACAAAAATTAATTTTGAAGTTTAAAAATATAATAATCTCCTGCGCTAGTATGACAGATACCTTGAACACTGGCTCTGCGAGCTCTCTCCGTATTCTAGATGCTAATTTCGGGATATCGATCACCTACAAAATCCAACCTCGTGGCAGACCATTTCGCAGCAAGATTCGTTAAATAGGTTAAAGTCGAGTCAGCAAACTCACCAAATGTCTTCCATTTTCCCTTGATGACTTGCAAGACTGCCATCGCGTCTACGAGAAGAGCAGTACTTTTGTCTGGAAGGCTTTGAACATCTACGAGAACTGATTTGTCACCCAGCGTCTCCATAACTTCAAACATTTTTGATTTGGCTGTCTTGACAAAGCCGCCTGTTGGAGTTGCAAGGGACAGTGGAAATTCGCTAAGGCTGAAAGATAACAACTCTTTTAAGTCGACATTGCGCGTCTTAGACAAAACCAGTAGTTTGGCAAATAGATTTCGGCTTGACTTCACAGCAAGTTGTTGTCCCTTGCTGTCTTTGACGGTAATTGCTTTGGTTGTAAAAGTTCTGATGTTGTTCTTTTTAATCTTTTTATATATATCTTTGTCGTCACTAAACAGATTTTCTTTGCAGAAATCATTAAACTGGTCTTCTCCAAGCTGCTCGGCTTCAAGTAACTTGTCGGCAACGCCATCTTCAAGCTCTACACCGGTACTAATATTGACGAGGCTGGCTTGTTCAATGTTGAATGGATTGGCCATGGCTGATGCTGTGTTAACTACCTCTTGCACTTGTTTCTCGTGTTTCAAAACCTTGGAAGTATCAAGATCTTTCTTCATTCTGCTCAGAGAGTTATCAAAATATAAAAGAAGCACATAAGCAACTGCATAAGACTTAAGAAAACGAATAATCTAACAAACCTGGTTTTGTCGTTTATTCCAGCCATGTCTTTACATTTACTAGTAATAGCAGCTCTCTGCGATTGGGATAGAAGCCACCTGTGCACTGTTGACCGATTCATTGAAAAGCCAATCAAACCACCTTTCGTTTTAGAATCGCGATTGGCTGTCTGCTCTATAGTTTGGTCGCAGGGTACTGCTGAAAACGCATAGTTTTGCTGCCGCTGCACTGAAAAGTTGGATGACAAGTCGTCAAGGATTCCTGTGAATAAAGGCAGAGCATAAACAAAGGCAGATTAATTAAGAAATATTCCGTGCTCAATACAAATACAACAAACCTGGATGCGTTTCCTTGACGGATACCATTTCAAGCCAATATGCAGCTCCATATCTTGAGTAGTTGACTTTATCACAGGCAAAATACCAGGACAACATCGCTCTGAATGCCAGCAAATGGAGATTCCAGTCAACAGTTCTTGTGGCTCGTACAAACATAAGAATAATTCCTGAAAAGATAAGTCTAATTTACCATCGTATATTCAGTATTTTTGAGAGTCCAAAGCAAACTTCTGTAAATTAAAATTGGTACGCAACGATCTCCGTTTTAGAAAATTCAATAGAAATTTTATTTATTCAAACGATTTGAATGAAATTACCTATCATCTTAATATACATACTCCAGTATGCAAACGTTTTCGATTTTGCCGATGATTCAGCAACGAAATCATCATATGTCTTTACTAGGTCTTTGAATTCTCGAGACTCGACGAAATCTTGTAAAGTTCCATTCCAATAAGCTTCTCTTGCGGATATTATGACATCATAGGCCTTTTTCTCTGATTCTTCACCCAAGCTATCCAAGAACACATCAAATCTCATCTGCTGAAGAGCCTCGTACAATACTTTGTGGCATGACATGGAACGATTGTAGTGCTTCCCACTGAGTACACCCTTAATGGATCCCTCACTTATCAAACCTGATTCTATAAATAAGTCCTGTAAATGAAAAAGGGACTCCGATTACATTCACTTGCATATATAATGGACATTATGAATTACCCAATAATACTTTTTTGGGTTCTTTTATGGCTAGACAGGGAATGGAAAACTAGTACTATGATTACCACGGCATGATCATACCTTTAGACCTCCGTCTTCGAAAAGTTTTGAAACCACACCAAGATATGACATAATTGCATGAAATTCTCCTAGGCGCACGACAAAACGATTGTAGTGGTCATCATTTTTCCATCGAACGTGTTGCACTTTAGCGTAAACAGCTTCGTCGAATACTAATGTCACATATCTGAAAAAAAAAAAAAATTCAGAGAAACTTAAAGATAGAATTTTAGCAAACGACAATGTACCTCAGTTTTAGCTTGTCTGCAGTTTCGGTGCTTTTGTTCAGTATTTCGTTTATAGTCGAGTATTTGGTTGGAGAACCATCGATGACTGGTAAATATCCGACTCTTGAAACATCTGGCATTTCGTCACGGTAAAGAAAAGTATTGAATCCTGTCCATGAGGGAAGGCAATCATCTTGATTCGATTTGACCATTGGCACCAAAACGTACGCTAAATCAAGCTTCTTTGCAAGCTCGCCACGTGAGTTGAAGGTAGTTACAGAAGTTCTTGCCTTGTTGAAGTCGGG